TACCATTCCAAGACATGCATTCTCCATGGAGAGACAAAATGGCTGCCCAGACTTGCAGGTTTTCAGCTCTAAATTCAGTGGATTAAACACAAAATGTCCTCCTATTCACAAGGATTAGCTCTTTTTATCCATCTGTCTTGTCTTAGATCATATACTCATCAGATTACACTGGACAAAGGGGTTGCAGTACTCTTAGGTCAAGTCTAAGTTGTATGCTCACCCTTGGATCCTGGAGTAGTAAGCATATGTTATCGTTTCTGCCTAGACATCCCCACAAAGCCTCATGCAGTCATGGGTGGGGCAGGCTTTTCAGAGGTGGATAATCTAGTCTATGATTGATTTATGTTCCAATGCTGGGATTAAGGATGTGAATGCAATAGCTGCCCTAGAGCAAGTAGCCTGGATATAACATAAGGGACAGAAAGAGCCTTGTTTTCCCTGTCTCTCTCCTTCACCTCCCCTTTACCTTTTGTTGCTTTTGCTATCTTCTGCTGCACAATGTACACCTTTGCCATATGCCATGCTGCCTTGGAAACAGCCAATTATGGACTGAAACCTCTATGAACTGTGAGCCAAATAAACCCTACCTCCCTTAACTTGGGGGGAAGATGGACATATCTTTTTAAAGGGCAAGTCCCAAAAGTTGCTTGTATTTCTTTGGCTAAAGTTTAATTAGCAGGCAGATGGTTCACTTTAGGTGTCAAATGGATTGAATTAAGAATACCTAGAAATCGGATAAAGCATTATTTTTGAGTATGAATGTGAGTGTATTTTCAGGTCAGTATATGAGCCAGAGTGGACTTGGTGGGGAAGGTCCATCCCCAAAGTGGGTGGATACAATCCAATGGGCTAGGAGCTGGGTAGAGAAAAAAGATGGACCAATTCCTCAAACTGTTCGTATACCTATAGTGTACCTATGTTGTTTCTTAATACATGTACACACGCATGACTGGTTTTGTCTCACTAGGAAGAACTCTGATAGTTTATATCTATATGCCAAAGAAGCTAGGAAACATGTTTATTTGAGGAAGAACAGATACAAGGAGACAATGTCAGAATATGAGATCTAACAGCCCTTTCTCTTTTGCAGGAAGTGGTCTTCAAAGGTCAAGGAACAGTCACTTAGGAACTAAACATCTTTGAAAGGTAACAATGCAAATGACTTCATTTGTGATCACCAATCTCCCAATAGCATAAGTAATTTGTTTTTGAAATATTATTTCCTCAGAAATTGGAAAATTTTCTCTTGAAAAAAAAAAACATGCTTTCCACAACCAGTGGTACAGTGCCAGTATGTATTTCTCCAAACTCTCCAACTTCGAAATAGCTGATGTGTCCTCCTTTTCTCTCATGTTCATTTAGGAACATTTGTAGATATGTTATCATAATATACAGTATCTAATTTTCTTTTTGCTTAAGCGTATCATAGACATAGCACAAGTTAACTTTATCTAAGGCTAATTAGCTGAAAAACAGATGTGTTATCCACAGCATAGGGTAAATTGCAAGGATTAAATGAGATAATACTTATAAAGCACTTGAAATAATGCCTTCACAAATAAACAAAAAAAAAAAAAAAAAAAGAAAAAGAAATAATGCCTTGTGCAAAGCTGGCATTGAAAAAATGGTTGGAAATTAGGTATGAGTCACATAAAAATGTCTCAGTTGTTTCATATAACGTAAAATCAGCCTAGGTACTGTAGATATTTTAAATTGTAGTCTTTTTGAGTTTCACACACCAAATTTGCTGACAATGCATTAAAATGAATGCATATTTTTCATTTTAACATTTAAATCTGTAGTATTACCAGGATATATACATATTTTTTTTAGTACAAGGAATTGAACTCAGGACCTTGCACTCACCAGGCAAGCACTTATTCCACTGAGCTATCTCCCCAGCCTTCTAGACTTTATTATCGCTCTCTATATTATTAAACATATTAATTTAGAAGAAATTCCATGGTAAAAGATATGGATTGGTTGTTCACAATTACCACTGAGTTTCTAATTTTTTTTTCTTTCTTTTGAAGAGAGGGTTTCACTATGTAGTTCGGGCTGGCCTTGAATTCATAGCAATCTTCTGCTTTAGCCTCCCGAATGTTGGGGTTACAGGTGTACACATGCTTGTCAAGTTTCATTTGTTTAAAAAGAAATTTTGTTCTAACCTCCTAAAAAATTGGAATTTCTTTAAAAAGATGAAATATAGTAAATTCCAACATCCAAAGTTGAGCTGTTCCTGGACTGGTAAAGATGGAAGCTTGTGGAATAGGATAGTAGAGATCCTTAAACCAGAAAAACTTTAGATTTTATTCCACAATAACGGAGGACCTACTAAAAGGTTTTAAGCAGAGAAGTGGCCAGATTTGTGCCAAAGACTATTGTAGCTCCTTGTAGAAAACAGATTTACCACGATATTAAAGGCAATGAGATCATTAGAGAGGCACTATATAGTTCTAGGAACAGATAACACTCCCTTGGACAAACATGACTGAAGACTATTTTGAGACATATTTACATGACTTATGATTTAATGACAATAACGATGTCTGTGATTAAAAGAAGTATCAAGAATAGTAGTATGGTTTGGTTTGAGAAATAATGGAGGGGAAAGGATAACAAAAGAGCAGATTTTAAGAAAAAGATGTTTGGGTCAGTGATATTAGTAAGTTGTGATATGAGGTAGAGCCTATCTATTGTAATTATGTGACAAGTCACAGAACTATAGCTAATACCTATCTCATTTTTCTTCCAGTCAAGGAGTTTTGGCTAATGGAGCAACTCAAAACTTCCATTTTTATTTGGGATTTTCAAAGTCTGCTGAATCTTCCCAAGCTACTAAAACTCTGCACACTAGCATTTATTTGGCACAGTCTCACTATGCAGCTCAGACTCATAGTGATCTCCTGTCTCAGGCTCCTGTGCTGGGATTACAGGTGTGCACCATTATGCCCCATTTTGGTGTCCCGCATAGCACTATTTCTGGGGCCAGTATGCCATGTGGGTCCCTGAGGGGCCGAATGTGGGTCCTTGAGCTTGCCAGTACGTGCGTAGACTGCTATCTCCCCACTCCCCAGCATTTCCTCTGTTTAATGCTCTCTCACAAGAGATCTTAGTAATGCTACAAATTCAACTGGCATTGTAATTTTGGCAATTTGAGAATTAACCTCTATGTGATACTTGGGACTTAATGACAGACGAATTTATTCACCCTGTGCAGAAAGACTCTGAATTTTATTCTGTGCTTAAAGGTGAATTTCTGGCTTTCAGCTTGTCCTTTTCCCTTCATCTAATGAAATCCAATTTCCTGTCCAATGGTTTCGACCATCTTGATTCACTTTACCTTGTGACAGCGTGGTTGTAAACTTTGCCCTCAATAGGTATATGAACCTAAATAAGGCTATTACAGGCTGTATTGCTGCTTGCCACTACCTCTTACCTCACCTGGCACACAAAACAAGTCCTAGCTACCCCTAATGTAGACGTAGTGCAATAATTTCTGAAACTTGCTATGTTCATAACTCTGGAGCTATTTAAAACCTGTCTATTCATCTGAGTACAAGTAGTTACAATTCATTTTAGCTAACAAAAGGGGGGGATACTTAAAATTGTAAGGAAGATATACTTTAATAGTGAAGGAAAATCTGGATAATCAGGCCTTGCTTGAAAACAAGAAATCAGGGTTCTTTGGTCATCCTGAATTCATGAATATACTGTATGATTTTGAGACAGTAACATCAGAATGACTCAACTTCTTTCTGTGTCATTTCTGTTACAACCCAAAGTCCTGACGGGAAGGTAACTTTGCCAAGACAGTTTGTTTTACTTAAGCTTCAGCTAGGGAATGAGGCTTGGGTACTGTAATTTATAGTTCCATTAAAAACACACAGAATGGGAAGTAGTAGTTTTCCAAAAGACAAGGGATTTATCACTAAAGAGACACAATTTGGAGCAATCCAAAGCAAGGAGTGTCTATTATACCAACATTTTAAATGTTAGGAAGTAGGAAAGAACTTGCAATAAAGTAATAGCCAGGAAATCAAGAAATGTAAGATACAGCACTTGGAATGTTGCAAGATGCTGACTGGAATTGCCTGTGAGGCTGAAAAGTTCAGACAAGATGCATATTAACAGATTCAGCACTCAAAAAGTCACTGATCTTGAGTGTAGTTGAAATCAGAGTAACTCAGGAATTAAATACAAGTGACTTACTTTCATCTATTATAAACGATGCAATAAGGGTCTTAACACAGTAACATCATTTGAGAACAGAAATAATTCTTTGAATTCTCAAAATATAAATCCCTAATAACCCAAGTTTAGGCCTTTGAAAGTTGTATTTTAAAAAAATTTAAGGAATTACTGAGCTCTGAGTTTCCTCCAACAAGATCGAGCAATCTGTCAACTTTAATGGATTAGATAAAGGTGCGTATTTTTTAATCCTTCGACAAAACAGGCTCAGTATTTAGCAACTTGCCAAGGTCAAACAGTAAGCATTAACTTTATTTTTAAAATTCTTTATTTTTTAAAATAAAGTTTAAAAGTAACGTGGTAGTGTATAATATCCCAATACAGAACTGTGTAAATTTGAGGCTCATGTAATCTACACTGTTCAAGCCATTAACAGACTTTTGTATGTATGTACACATATACACATATTTTAGAATGTGTTTACATGACATCCTTTTCTATTCATAGCTTATTTCATTTAATATATCATGGCCATGTTTCCACATCCATTCACAACAAATGTAGCTTATTCAATGGATGTGTAGACTTTTTGTACAGCTAGACTATAACTTAACCAATCCTTTACTGATATTTTCTTCTATTATTTTCTACCATGTTACTTGTGCAGCAATTCAAATATTCTCAGTTGTCTTTAAAAAATTTCAGTGTAATTATGACCTTAGTTTCATGAATACTTGGACCTATCATTTCAATGTTGGTAGATACTATAAATTAGGACTCAATTTTGAGTAATAGAAACTCAACTCAAAGTAGCTTAAGCAAAAAGTGTATTTATTGTTTCACATAACTGAAAAGTCCAAGGGATATACTAGCTTCAGGCACAGCTGGATCCAGGAGCAAAAATGCTGTCATCAGGACTCAAGTCTCTCCATCTTTTGGCTCTGCTTTCTTGTGCACTGGCTTCATTTTCTGACTGGCTCATTCAATGTGGCAGACCCTGTTGGTTTGAATTTTAGTTTTTAGTCCTAGAAACTAAAGCATTTCAGTAAACAAAATCTGTTCTCCACCATAACTCAGTAAAATCCAGAGGACTGAATTACCACTGGACCAACTCATGAATCATACGAACATTGCTGAAAAAATTGATATGGTTAAGGAAAGACTTTGCTGACTGATGAGGTCTGAATGATATATGCCTACTCACAAAACCCAAGATTGGGTTAGATGGTCCAAACCACATTAACTGAAAATAGAAGTGATGGTTCCAGGGTACATCAGGGAGTTAAAACGGGATGGATGCTGGACAATCAAAAACAGTGTATGTCCAGAACAAACCAGAGACTGAAAAAGCTTAACTTCTGCTCATAAAAGTAATTATAGTTACAGCTGGCTCCTCAGTAATGGAATTCTAAAAATAGCCATGAGTATAAATTTGTCTTGTCTTCAGAAAGCCTACAGTTCATGAGTGGAACAATCATGTCCAATAGGGTACTTTGGATGATACTATAGAATTTCAATGCATGCAAACTCAGGTTTTATTCCACAGCCCCACCATCTTGGTGATAAAAAGGTCAACTAGCCTTCCACTGGCAAATAGTTCTCCAAGGCTATTTGTGTCAGTGGTAACTTAAGTTCAGTGAAAAACTTCTCATATCCCTTTAAGTCTTGCAAAGTTGAAACAGTATTTGTTTGTATTGATGAATCCACTGGTGTTACTGCAGGAGTAGACTCTTTCAATCTGCTACACTCTTTCCAGATGTGGTAGGAGAGGTCCCAGGTGCTATAAATGAGCAAACATAGAATCTTAACTATTTAAAAAAATAAATGAATGAACTGGTTGGTCAAGGTGTATGCAACTGGTATTTTCTGTTGTGACAATAAGTCCTTGGTGAGGTGACATACAAGCTAATTTCTATTGAGAAATCCATGGTGAAATTCAGCACGAGATAAGCTGAAACTGGCTGGTGTCTTCTCAAGGTCAGCAGTTGCTTGCAGTAAGTCACACGAGGCAGTTAACAGCTCAGACAGGTAAACTGACAAGAGTAACTCCAGCAGGGCCAGTCAAATCAATAACCAGGATATCACCTGGAAGAACCGGCAGACTAATGAATGAATCTATAAATTAAGTTTTGCCCTGGGTATTCGAGTTATTTCATAGGGCTTATGCCAGATGTAATTTTCTAATTTCAAGGGACAAGCCAGATATAGGGCTTTTTCTGCTCATCTGCCCAAGAACAAGCATCTCAGGAGAAAGCCATATCCTTAGTCCAGACTTGAGGTTCTGTTCAGAAGTCTATCCTACATCTGAGAATAAAAGGGTGGCAGAGCCAGGTTTGTTGACGTTGGCCCTACGTTCTTTGGCTATCAATTCTTCATCTTCTGTAATTTAGCACATCTCTGAGAACTCCTACAATCAAGTCATGGCTTCAGATTGGCTGAAATGACACAATGAAAGACCAGGGTAAAATCTGAAGCATGGAGACTGCAGGCAATTTCCTGTGTTTAAGTTGTAGGCTCTTCCCAATCACCAAGTTTTTACGCACAGTACATGTAAGACTCCTGCACAGATTACCCTCATCTCAACTCAGTATACAAGATCAGAAGGAATTACTGGCAGTGTAGATCGTCTTTTTCTGCAAAGCACATACAGGAAAAAGCAGAGAAGAAAAAAAAAAGCTGACAATTTCAAGGAAGCAGAAATGTGAGCTTGTAGATAATTTCTTCTTTATGAATTATAGTTGTGTATTCAAGCAAAATAATCTAGATTTTAATTTGCTGAGGTTGAGTCAAAAGCAATTGGATCTAAGCCTTGATTGTATGTAAACCAAGTTATGCAATCAGATTAGTCTGAGGACAAGGGAAAGGATATGAAGAAATCATTTCCAACATTTAACCAGTACATTCAAAATAAAAGCTGAAGATGGCCGACCCTTAAATTAACTTTGAAGGAATGAAATTTTCTTAGGACATAAGTTGGCATATCCCTGTACCTCAGGAATTAAACTCTTCTTACAGAAACAAATTCTTAATGTCTAAGAGTATCTCACAGCAAGAAATGAAGCCAACCACACTGAATCAACATAAATGACAATACTGAAACAGATGTGATTGCGTTTAAATATCCACAAAGACAGAAGCTCTTCAGTCTACTGGTAAAATCTTTAGCTGCCATCTTTAGTGTTTTTTTTTTAAGTTAATCTACATTTCCAGCAAAATGTAGATAATATACCATTTTAAGTCATCATAAAGTAAGTTACGATATCCTGGTCAAAGGGCCTGGGTCCAACTATCCCTACCATATGCTGGTACCAGGTGTTAAGTCATGTTAAAAGTGTCTCTTACTGGCTAGAAAAATTTTTTCAAATGACTATGTAAATCACACAAGAAAGGATGCTCAAAAATTATGTCTTGAAGATCAGCTGTCATAAGTAAAGATGAGTAGACAGTAATTATGGGGAATCAGCAAATAAGCCAGTGAAGAAATTGTTTTGGGATTTTATTTTTAAAGGTTAACTCATTGATCCTCAGAACAGTCAAATGAATAAAAACCAAGGAAGAGAATAATGTAGTGTAACTAGGTTGAGTCACACAGTGATTTGTAGTTTAAGATGAAGAATGACAATCAGGTACTTAGAAAATGTTGCCAGTATCTGAATTCTGCTTCTGTAGTTAATGACTGTTTAACATGAAGTAGAGTACCATGGCTAATGATGAGAGGTCTAATGAAGTTGGTATAAGATGGCCTCAGTGAGGCATGTTTCCAGCTTGCAGGCAATTCACGTATCCAAGAAGAGTTCAAGACTTCAGTCATATACTTCAAGTACCGCTAATGTGTTTCGTATTTGTGAATGATGCTTAGTAGGGTTTGTCAGTGTAGAGTGTATATAAATTGCAGACTATATCCAATTCCAGGATTCACTGTAAGTTCATCTGGATTATAGGCTAGTAATAAAAGGTTCACTTGTCACCACTTTCAGTCCATATGAACATTCTGGGGGCCAAAGACATGCCAAATGGTTCTAAGTCTGCACACAGTAAATATTTATAAGAATATTCAGTATCAGTTGAATATGGACTATACTGAATGGAGATACAGAAAAGATCAGAAAGCCATTCAGGTCAAACATGTTGTATAGGGCAGTGGTTCTCAAATTGTTCTGCAGTTTTGTACGCTGTAAAGAAGTCCCTTTAGGTGTCAGCATGGTGGCAAAGGAAGATGCTTGTGGCAGGCTGCAGACCCCCACTCTTGCTTCACTTCATCCAGAGCACCTTCACTTTTACTCTGGGCTTCCACATAGTTTTCATTCAAATGGCTTCATGGCCACAAAGCCTTTGGAAAACAAATGATCTAAGAGTAAGTTGTTCACAAAATGCTGAAATAGAAAAAATATGTCACAGAAACCATAAACTGGGTGAACAAAGCCTGTAGTAAGCTAAGGTATCTTCCTGTTCATTCTTTCGTTAAGGAGGACCATATTAAAGGGTAATGGAGCTAAAACTCATGTCTAATATAAACTCCAACTGCCTGAAGTTAGTTTATAAACCATTGCCAGAGGATAAGACTATTGGTTTTAAGTTGCAATAGCTGTGAGGCTTTTGCATATAGTTGCAAAACACATCACATCTTTGTAAACAGTGTTTCAAGAAGTCCATGATGGCTAGATGACTTCTCTTAAGCAATAAGATCTCAAAAGACCACAATGCAAATTCTAAACAAAGTACTCTCTCCTTATTTCTTCCTCCTTCCCCTTTCCTCTATTTCCCTTTTCAATCTCCTTACCCATGATGCAATCCCTTAAAAAAATGTTTTATACCATGATTCTAACAAATATACTGCTAAATGTTATGGAACTCACCCTTTGGGGAGGGGACACAACATTCTCCCATTATCCTCCCCATGTAGTTCCGTATTTATTCTAAAAGCTCTTTTGCTAAAAAAATTAATGATCAAGATGTAGTACTGAGATGATAGGGACAAACGATTTTAAGCAGTTAATGACAAGGTATGAAAAAGGCAAGTTTCAAAGACACTGTGTTATAGGGTCTCCAGGCCAACCTGTTGATAGTCAGGAAACACTATACTATTCAACAGTAGTTTCCCATTCTATTAAAAAGAATGCTACCAAAAATTACATTGTCTTTAAATTAAGACACAGTGGGCTAAGATACAGAGGTCTTTACTGCAAATCTTTTGGAAAACTTTAACATCTCACAATGCATTGTGGGCTAGGGATAAGGGAAACATCTTACAGTATTTTACCACCTTACTGCATATTAGAAACTCTCCACCTGACAGGTATACATTATTTTAAAAAAAAGATGGCTCATTTTGTGTAAATATTAGTTTGGGGGCAGAAGACTACAGGTAATCTTTCAGCATTCATGAGTTTCTTAAGACACAAAGGGGATGTCAGGGCTTTCTTGGGAAAACCATGAAAATGGACAAAAAGATCTAAAAGCGGCTTGTTTCATATTAGGTAGCCTTATTATCTAATGAACACCTGCCATTTTGATCAGACAATTTATCATCATGAAGATCTTTTGTTCTCACACCTTTGGGATACTGCCATGTATTACACTTACAACATCCTGCCTAATGGGGGTACTGGCAAGGAAGTTAGAATCTTTTGGAATTTCCAATCTCATTTTAACACTGAAGATAAATGCTAAGTTAACACCAAACATGATACTGGATCAGAAGCCAAAAGGCCTGGCTTTTACCACTTTGTAGCCTATATCTTGGATAACTTAAATTTTTGTTCCCTCATTCAAAAAGGAATGTTAATGTATTTTGATAACTGAGATAAACATAAGAAAAGTGCTTTGAAACTGTAAAGTGCTATATAAACAGAGGGAATTACCATATAGGTTTTATCTTGATGTGTTAAGAGAGGCCTTTTCTGGAATCTGACTGGAGCCTTGTGAGATGCTGTTAAGCAAGGAATTTCTTGGCAGAATTGCTTACATCTGTGTGAAAAGTTCTGGTTCCTGAGTAATCCCAAAGAAGATGCTATGAGGAATTCACTGTGCCGTGGTTTTGATCCCAATAGGTCTCATTCAGTAGGCTACTACAGATTTTAAGTAGAAAAACAGCATGGTCCAGGGATCTTCATGGGATCCTAGATAGTTCATGAACTCTAATCATTTGAGATTGTGGGGTATGGTCCAATGCTGTTCTCAGAGAGATGTTTGTTGTCTTTCTTTGGACAGCGTTGATAAATAAAAATCCCCTGGTCCAAGTTTTTTATATGTCTCTGAAGACTTTGAAGAAATGAAATGCACACTTATGGAATAAACTGGGCCTTTGTTGTGACAAAATAGCTTTAGCTATTTGGCTTGAGGACTCTGCAATTATAACGGGCTGTGCTGAATCTGGGCAGAACAGAACTGGCGTGGAGGTCAAGGCCACATCATCACTACTGAATGACTCTTGGGTCACAGTGGTCCACTGGAATGGTGTCTTCTTCAGTAGTAAGTTGGTAGGAATCACCATGAGCAAAAATCCAAGTACCAGATGTGTAGCCTGATGGACCAGCAGAAGCAAGGTGGTCAGAAGGTCCAGTTGAACACTCAGCAATCAGGAGGCACCGGACTAGAAGGGGGAGGGACAAAATAGGTGAGATAACAAATGCATGGAATTACAAACAGGATTCTAATACTGGGATTTGTCTGTAATAAGCACATCAATTGCCTTATAGGTACTAATTCTTGGTAAGCCTGGGTTAGAGGCTATAGATGATCAGTGGGGAGGAGAATAAACCAAAACCACAAAAGCCTGATTAATAATTGCTAATAAGAACAGAAGAACTGTCTGAGGGATGTACCAAACAGGCACTGCCCTAAGGCTCGTATTTTGGGCTAATAACTTGATTATTTAGGCAGGCGGGCACTAGTTGATGGGTAAGTGGCTCCACAGGTGGCTCAAAAGAAGGTGAGATTTTTAAGTTCATATGCCAAACAGAAAGCAAGAAATAGTACCCTTCTTTTTCCATTCCTCAGAATGTCTTAGGAGCATCATTTTAAGTTGTCCTTTTAAACTAAGTATGAATTGTTTTGCTCAATATTTGGTATGTAGCAGGTACTTATAAACAGTTGCTAAAATAAAAGTTCTTTCACTTTACAAGCTTCTATATTGAATAAGAAAATAAGGCTTTCCTTTCTTAAGTATGTAAAATAGCCCATTCAATGTATCAATTCTTCTTTGTGTAAGGGCTTCTTAGATCGTAAGTTTACAATTAAAAAAGTGAAATACGCAATAAAGAAGCATGGCACGACACCAGTGATTTTCTTTAGTATCAAGAGTAATTGTAAAGTCATTTCACAGTAACTTAGCACATACTAAGGGCTAGGAAATGCCAAGTGATGAATGACATACCCCACTTTAAACTACTTTCTAAAAAATGCTTCAATAGGGGTGGTGGTATATGTGGGCACTAACAAGGCCTTCATTTTCAAGGAGCTTGCTATAGAAAATATACATAACATGTTAATATAATTAAAGAAGACATTCTGGGGATGGGGCCATAGCTCAGTGAAAGAGCATCTGCCTAGGACGCATAAGGCCTTGGGTTCAATCTTAACACTGGAAAACCAAACCAGAATATATTATCTAAAGTTAAGAGATTTATGGGAAGGAGAGCTTCTGAGTTGGATACTGAGGAAGTGGTAGAGATGTGACAGATAAAGGACCAGAGAATGGCATTTCCAGAATAGTACATACAGTATGAGAAATGCAGAAATGGTGGTTAAGACATTTTGAAAAATGGCAAGTACCATAATTCACTTTCGATGGAGTTTTGTCTTATTGAGGGTCTGGGCAGAAACGCAGGTCTTCCAATTCTCAGTAACAGCACTGGTGGTTAATGCTTGCTCAATTGTTGCCTCTTTTCTTACAGCAAGATCAACAGTTCCAAATGTATTTAAAAAAAACAAAATTAACCTCCACAGTTCCTGCCACATCCTGACAAGCTCTTCTAGGCTGCAGGTCCAGTTCTTGGAAATCTGGAGTCCATGGCTGTGGTTACACTGAAAAGTAACTGCTTCAATGATTGCAGAACATTGTAGCAAAACCTTCTCAACCTCCAATCCTGGACATTTCACGTTTTGTCACAGAATTTCAAGCTTTGAGTTCCAGTTGCTTTTTTCCTTTCTCTGGAGAAAAGCCTCTTATCACCAGTCTTAAAAAGTCTTTTGAGGTACATCCAGATTTAATTATAAAAGAGCTAAAGAACACATTTTTCTCCAAAACAGTCATTTCTCTGGAAGAGAAATCATTTGTCTCTGCACTTTAGGTAAAGGGAATAGTCAAATTTCCCCCCAGATATTTGAAGGAAATAGAACTGGTTAACATCTAGCGAGACAAACTACACTTAACTGTGTTTGTAGTCACTTGCCTAGAGCTGTACCACTTGGTAAGCACCACTCCACAAAATGAAAATGTTTGAAATCCAACTGTTCAAACATTTTTATAGTGTTTGCTGGACAACGGTCTCAAATTTTTTAAGAGCAGCTGACAATAACGAAACAAAATGGCATTTTGGCCTTCTCAGTATCACAGTTGCAAGCAATTAGAATGCAAAGCAGGCCAGGCAAAAAGGTTGGGATCATTTCCAAACCTACTGATTTTGAGGTTCAGCAGGTGTCCTAACAAAAATTTGGAGGAGAATATTAACTTTGAATCAGTAAGGAAAAACCATGAAACATCTTTAGGAATTCCACGTGTGGTTCAGTCTGTTTCAATGAGCCCACTTGTTAAAAATTCACCTGCTCCATTAATTAGCTAAGCTTGGCACCATCATTTAAAAATAAGCCTGTTCACCATCAACCACACAAAATGAGGGAACACAAAATAGAATCAAGTATAGGATGACAACCACAGTCATGGAAAATGATAAAAGTCAAAAAGGTAGTCAGGCACCAGCATAAGCAGCAGAAATCAAGAATTCCTGGGCCAAACACTGAATTCACTTCTTCGTTTTACTGACTACATCCACTTTTAATTCTAGCTGCTTTACATTGGGTGCCACTGTACCATATGTATCAGCCACCCTTCAGGCACCCCATGGTGAAAGGAAAGGGTTCAAAAGAGAGGCCAAGCAGGGGAGTATTGTTATCCCAAATATCCATTATACATAGGAAACAGCTCACATATACCAGGGACTCAAAAGGGGGCTTCAAATTGATTGTGAAGGGTCCCAAATGACATCTAGGCCTCAGTTTCCTCTCTGTGATATATAAAAACTGTCATCAAACTCTTCTGGGTCACAGTCCCTTTTAAAAACTTGATAACAATGGATCATCAGCTGCTTAATAAGCATGTCCCCACAAATTTCTACGTACAATTCTGGGAGTCTGGGGATCTCCAACTCTAATCCAAAACTCCCAGGTTCCAAATCCAAGAGATTTGACAACCGGTAAGTTTTCTAGCAACTCAATAAACATTACAAACGATACTCATTCTTTAGGAATACAGCACTTTGTAGTTCACAAAGTGAGTTCAAACCCAAACACAAGCAGAGGAGGAAACTGAGGCGCAGACAAATTAGAGTGACTTGTCTAAGTTCAGTCGGCCAGCTGGTGGCTAGGCCCAGTAGCAAACCCAGCTCTTCCGACTCCGGGAGCTCACATCCCTACCCCGGAGCTGCTGCCAGAGCTCCCGGCCCTCTCTAAGGCGGCATAAGGAGGAAAAGGCAAAGCAGAAAGCCCACCACCAACCATCCTCCAGCCCCTTCCTGGCTCCCCAACTGGGTCCTTGCAGGCCCTGATGGGTGGCGCCAGGCCTCCAGGCCAGCCCCGGCCCCGGCCCCGGCCCCGGTCCCCCCCGCCTCCCCGGCCGCGCCAAATCCCGCCGCTGCCGCCGCCTCTCCGGGAGCGGGGCGGAGCAGCTGCCCACCGCCGCCGACCACCCGGACGACTCCTCGTCGAATCGCAAACGCATAGGCCGCCGCCCGAGTTCTGCGTACGAGAAGAAAGACGCGGCGCGAGCGCCAACGGCCACCGGGCGCTCGCCGCGGCGGCCGGGCCTGCGCCCCAAGAGCTGGATGCCAGAGCAGGAGAAAGAGCCGCCAACCGATCGCTCGATCGACCGCGCGCCCGCTCCTTCGCCCTACCAGACCGGGGAGGGGGGGAGGGCGCGCCAGGGCTTCTTCGAGTTAGGGGCCTGACTCCCCGGCGACGAGACAAGATGGCTCCCCCAGTCCGCGCTGCAGCTACCGTCCCGGCTGCGTCGCTCGGCCCGCCCCCGGTACTGTTTCTTTAAATGGCGGAGAGGGTCAGGAAGGCCGGAAGAGAGGTGCGCGCTCTCACGTGATAGGGGTGGGACTGGCCAACTAAGATCCGGTCACGTGGGTACAAACCGCCGGCCAGTCCGAAGGCGGAGTTTCAGGGCGGGGGCGGGAGAACCTATGGCTTTGTGATTGGCTGAACGAACCTTGGAGGCCTCGGGGGCTTGGGGCGTCGGGTAGTGCGCGAGGTAGCCGGGGCGGTGTGCGCCAGCGGAGACAAAGCGGCGGCACAGAATTCTTAAACGCCGAATTTCGTGTCGCAGAGTCTTGTCGTCTTAGTCAGCGCGGCGCGCGGGTGGTGACGGCGGCGGCGGCGGAGGCAGCAGCGGCGGCAGCGGGAGCGGCAGCGGCAGCGGCAACGGCAGCGGCAGCACATGGTTCCAAGAGCGCGCTGCGGTTGTTGAGTTCCAATCCCGCGGGGAGGGACAAAGGCAGCTGGGAGCTCCTGGCAACGCCCGAGTGGGTGGTTTATTTGTCTCTGCCCTCGATTTGGGGCTGTGAAACCAGCGACGAACTCCTCAGCCCGGGGAGAGGCCACGGGACCAAGGCCTGGGAAGGGCCTACGGTTGAGGTGGCTGAGTGAAGTGGGGGAGGGGCGCGGCTTGGCTGAGGTGATTTTGGCAAGTCAATTGTGAGGCTTAGTGGTGGACCATTGTGTGATAATTTGAGTCAATCCTCTTTGGAAATTGGGGCGGGGCTGCAATCCTGGTGTTTTCAGGTTTTTTTTTGGAGGGAAAAAGTCAGCACCTCTTCCGGTTGGTAAGTGGTAAAAGGAATTGGCGCCATATACTTTGCCACAGTCTACGTCTAGGGCCCATTTGAAGATCTTAGCATCATTGGTGGCGAAGACGTGAGTGCGTATTCAGTTTCGTGACAGTGTGTTTCCGGATTGGTAAAATTCTCGGTACGAAATTTAAGGCACCAAAAAGGGCTCGAAGAACCAACGTTAGGATGAAGTAATAATCGTCATTGAAATCAGTATCCCCTGTCTGCCCCAGGATCATCCACTTTCTACTTATAGTCTGAATTGAACTATCGAAACTTGACACTAAAAGTTCTTCGGCAAGTTTATGACAAAGTTCTTTCCAGGCAAGTGCTTATTCTACTGAGCTATCTCCCCGGCCTACAAAGTTTTTTCCAAAATATATCATAGAAGATTTAAAAATACTTAACGAAGAAATCCGTTCCAGTTTTGTATTGGCTAACGTGCTTTAACAATCCATAAGGAACAGAGAGACAACCTTTGGTGAAAGAAGTCTTGAAAAGTCAGTCCTACTAGGTGAAAGATTGGAGCTCTTGTTGCAGTCATGGCCTTCACATATTACAGTAGTCTGAATCGAGCCCAGCTAACCTTTGAATATCTGCACACAAATTCGTAAGTATCCTGTAGGTGCTAACGAGATCATCAGTAACTCAACCCTTGATATTAATATGATAATCCTTTCCCCAGAAAATTTTACTTTTCCACGGTTTAAGATATCGCTGGATACCAGTCTTTCGCTCAGAAATATTTATTGCTAATCCAGAAGATTCTTATTTTAGTTACTGAATCACAGTTTTTCTAGGTGCAAATTCATTTACCCAGAGTCAGCACATTATTTCAAATATTTAATAGGAATACAGGAAATTCTCTTCAAATGGGCAAAAGTTGGATTTGTTATCAACTGCCTCTATGAAAACAGCCTAGACAATTGGGTTTATGTCAGGTGTTTCTAACAAGAAAAGGAAGACAACAACATTTGAGTAACAACTTACAAGAAGAAAAAAATACTTTCCAGCAAACAGTTGGCTTTATCTTTCTTGGAAATGCGTACCTGTATCCAGTGTAGTTTGTGCAGGAAGTGACAAATTGTTTAAATTCTTGATTTAGATAAGTCTTGCCCTGAATTGTGTGCAACTCCAGAAATACAGTGTTACCATCGCTCCAATTTGATCTGGAATGTTTTAGAATTCTTAAACCCACTCTGACATCCAGTGGGGTCAAAACTACTTCAGTGTTTTTAATACATTCATCTGCTACTTTTGAGATACAGGTAAGTATTCTACCATTTTAGTACTTAGACAATAGGTAATGAATAACTTTAGTGGTCCAGAGTTGGCAGAGCATAGGCTTCAGTTATCCAATATTACAGAGAATTTTTAGCCTTTTGTGGAAAGGACAGGTGTTACAATTTCTTAGAGGATGTAATTTTTTAATATTTTCTAGTCAAATAATTTGCCAAATTCTGTACTTTTGTTGTTTTGTTTTAAGAAAGCTTTTTATTGACCCAAAATATTTTAGAGAAGGTACCATACATATAAGTTGACTAGGTGAATTCTTACACTTACTGGTTAATTTGTAAGGAACATAAATGAAGTAACTGATCCTAGCCTTGGGCAAAAATCTTCAATATCCTTTTTAAATATTTTATTGATCATGTTAAGAACTAGCAGGTAACTAGGGATACAGCTCAGTGGCATAAGCGCTTGCCTAGCAAGCACAAGGTCCTGAGTTCAATCCGTGGTACCGCAAAAAAAAAAAAAAAAAAAAAAAAAAAAAAATCTAGAAGGTGAAGGCCACTTAGATGTTCATGTATATCATGTTCATTAAATGGCTGAGTTGAAAGTTTTGGAATAAGACAAATTTGGAATTGCAGATTCTTGGAAGACCACAATCTAGATTTCAGAATCCGGTTTCTTGTTTTCACTTAGTCAAAGATTACTCAGTAATAAAGTAGTAACAATCATTGTTTCATGGCAGTTACTGTTTCAAACTGTCTACAGTAATCTTGAAAGCAAACCTGTGGGCTAAGAATTATTCTTTTACATTTGAGGAAGACAAGTCTTGAAGTGATTGGTAGTGATTATACAGCTGCTGAATGGCAGCCAGTATTTAAAAAAGTCGTTCGGTCACTGTGTTTAGTGCTTTAATCATATGGCAGTACTGACTGATCAGTTTTACATTCAAGGGCCTGTTTTCTTATCTAAGTCAAGTTGTTTTTTTTTTTTTTTTTTTATTCTAAGGATTCTTTAATTTTAGTTTATCTCATTGAATCTCCTGCTTTGAGGATTATGGGATTGTTCTCTCGTTCTCTTCTCCCTCTTATTTTGTGCTTCATTGACAGTAATTGATTTCACTCCTCCTATTTTGTAGTTTAACAGTAGGTGGACAGTGCCATGGTAAAGAAGCAAATCTCAGTTAAGCCATTTGTTTTAAGGTGATGGAGAATTTTCTGTGAATGTTTCTTACTCATTGATTTGGAAGTAGTTGTTCACTTGCATTTCCAAGGGTTGGCAGATCATTTTGAAACCCTCTTCTCTTCTTTCTTTCTTCCTTTCTTCCTTTTTTTCTCTTTCTGACAGTTGTCTCACTATATAAATCGGACAGGCCTTGAACTAATGCCAGGCTTTGTGCCTCATCCTCCTGAGTGCTGGGATTACAGTCATTGGTCTCTGAAATTTCTTAATCTGAACCACAGCTCTTACCTTTGAGGTTCTGCTTCTGAGTGCTCTGTCCTTCCAGAAGAAAGTATGAATGCTAAAACACCAGGATAAATTTGAATTTGTAACGAATTTCAAGAGTCTTGACCCAAAGATTATTTTAGAGGAAACATTTTAACATTCTCACATGATATGACTTGTTATTCATAACGATAGATTAACCTTTAAGTGGTTCACTAAGTCACCTTCAGAGAAGAGAGGATTGGTCCTGTAGTTCTTTCTCCTTTGTTTAGTTTAAACACAAGACAATCCAAGGACATCTACACTGTTGCCACATTGTGAATTATGAAAGAGATAGCACTCTGCTTATTGCCAGTAAAATGTGGACTTGAAAATAACCCAGGCTAGGAAGGTGGAAATCATTGTAGTTTAGTGACAAGATTGTGCTTGAAGGCCAACCATACCTAGATTTGAGTGCTTCCTGCCTGTGAGTAAATCAACCTCTTGAGCCCTCAGTTTTCATTTATATAATACGACTAATCTGATGAGAATGTTTATGAAGGTTATATCAAATAACAAAGTTCTTAGCTTTTACATGGTATATAGGAAAGTTGAGTAGATGGTGGTTACTCTATATTAGTTTATATGAACAAAAAGTGGTAACTTGCTTTTTGATGTTAGTAGGCAGACAAATTCCTGATAAATTTTGGAGCATGTGTTAAGAGACAGTAAATTTCTTGATTTTTTTTCTCCCTGTATTACGATTTCTGGTAGTAATGATAGGTATTCTTTGGTAACATCAGCCTTAAGGTGACAGTAGGCCTGGGAGCATCTAACTTACTTTAATACTGAAAATTGCTTTTACAAGATCATGCAAGTTAGGGTTTTCACATTAGAGAAGTTTTATTCAGTTCTGGTATTAGGTAGTTGATTTTGTGACTGATGCTCTTTTCACATGCTCATCATGTCCTGGTTTGCTGTACTAAGTGATCTGAAAGCAGGATGCTTAAGTAGAAGAGTTACTTTTTGTTTTTTTATGTTTATTCATTTGATACTTTAATTTGTAATCTTGGCTGTGTAATAGTCTAAGCTGTTCATCCACATGTGAGGAACTTGTCAACTCAGAGACTTCTGTATTTTCTAGGATGTATAAATGTGTTGAAATGTAAGTTCATATGCTAAATATATTAAAAAGCTATTTGAATTTAAAATAACTGCTCAAGGATTTCCCAGCAGTTAACTGTTTTCGGTGTATACAGGAACTAGGAAAATTGTCACAGTGTGGTGGGTTTGTGAATAATCCATTGGTTTAAATTGCAGCTATTAAGTATGAAAGCAAACAAGTTAATTTAACCATGGATTTGTTGCTGGAAGTACTAAGCTGGAAAACTATTTCTCCTATGGCACAAATGAAAAGTTATGATCAGTTGAAAGCCGAAGAATTTGTTCAAAATCTTGTCTTTTTCTAGTTGATTGATCTTTCTTGGATCACATGCAAAATTTAGGTCTGCAAAGAATAATTTTTTTTGATATCTATTCATTTTGTCTCAAATACTAGGTAGTGATGAGTCTACCTCTTGAAATACTGTTTGGGAAAAATGGAATTATGCAATTGCTATGTTTTGGATAATGATTTTAAATATTTAGAACTGACTTTGACATCTGGAAGATCCATTATTAATCTGTTTGAGGTCTAAGAAGAAAATTCTGAGTATTACCTCTTTCATGCTATGAATGATCATCACAAAAATACCTCCTTGCCCCTTTGAGATTGGCTTACTGAATTCTAAATGTCTCATTTCCGAGCTGGGTGTGATGACACATGTGTAATCTTAGCTGGAAGGTTGAGGCAGTATGGATCAAAAGTTTAGGCCCAATGTGGGTAACATGTGAAACTATCTTATAAAAACAGAAAACAAAACAAAAGGTCTTGGGATGTTCCTTGGTATGAAGTACAAGGGCCTTAGGATCAATACTCAATATCTCCCCTAGCCAGTCTCATTTTTTATGTAAAGTAATTAGAAATATAGATTACAGAGATAGTTATTTGTGTTTGTATTTTTTTTTTTTTTAATTTTCTTGTCTTAGTGACAGAGGGAGTCAGAAAGTTTTTCTGTTAATTCCTACTCTTCTCACTACCAAAGTACAAAAACTACATCCTTTAATTCTAAAGTTACAAATGGTAGTCTTTTTTTTTTTTTAAGCCAGGATCTCAGTATGTAGTTCATATGTATTTCAGGATGGCCTTGAATTTAACTCGTGATCTTCATCTCCTGGGATTATAGGCATGCGCCACCATGCCCTGCAAACAGTAGTCTTTATTCTTAATATGCTTGAGTTTTTGTTTTTTCTAGGGGGGTATATGTTTGAGAGTTGTTGACTTTATGTTAAAATGGAGATTGATGTTGAAATGAGAAGTGTTGTAATAGAATTGATTAATATATAGCAAACCTTAAAATAAGTTAGAGTATAGAAAAACAGTTCACTTTCTAAATCACTTGTAAGTCAGATGACTTTGGAAGCTTGAGAACAAATGGTAAGATTCATTTTTATTTAGTGTTAGCTTAGCAAGTCACCTTAATTTTTTAGCTTTGTCCCTATTTTTTTATTTTTGCAGTACTAGGGAATTAGTACATGGGATCTTGAGCATACTAAGCAAGTACTCTTAGCATTGAGTAACATTCCTAGCCTATCATTTTTTTTAGATCATTAGACAAGATCACTAAGTTGTTGTAGCTCTCCTCTTGGGAATCTTCCAGCCTCAATCTCTTGAAGAGTTTGGATTATAGATATGTTCCATCCATCAATGCATGGTCTTCACGTTTCCATAGTGGGACGTAAAGAATATTAACTTAGCCCATACTTTAAATAATTTAAAGTGATGACTCAGTATGTATTTTTTAATAATTAAAGATCAACAATTTTGTTCTGCCATGTAAAATTAAAAATTGGCCGTTAGCCAGAAGTATTTGAGTTCTGTATTCTAGGTGAATTGGTGATAAAATATCTATGTCTCACTACGGTATGCTTCCTGGTAATGCCTTTGGATTAGCAACAGATAAATTTATTGATCTCTTGGAGGAAAAGTTCTTCCTAAAATTATGGGAGCTTGTAGTTTCATATAATTAAAAAATTGGCATTTAAATACTTATGTGGGAAAATGTATTACTGGCCAGCTATTAGAGTTTTTTATAAGCAAATATCTTAAAGTTTAAAGTTAAGTGATCAGATCTCATATGCTAGTTATGTAATACTGTTGTATTTCAATCTAAATTCTTAGAAATTTTTCACTTTGGTTATTGGCTGAAACTAAGGAGTAATTTAGGTGTTTATGAAAAATTAATGATGGTAAGGTATAAGTTAATGATTTTGTATTTTCTTTAAGTCAGCCTGGTTTTCTAGATGCTTCTGTGTGGACTTTAGTAATTTTTTGTATGACTTTTAAGATTAAAGAACGTGAATTGAGCATGGTCAGTGTATAATTCGTTAGCATTTTTGTTTACCAGTACCTGTGAAGAATTAAGAGGTTTTGTACAGTATATAAGAAACTGGTTTTGAAGAAAGGCAGTAACGATAAGCTTTGCCCTTTGAAAGTTTGGCTTGGGCTGACCAAATAGCTCAGCAGATTAAAGTGCCTGCTAGCAGGCACAGGAGCCCGGGGTTCAATCCCTGGGCCTGCTGTGCCTGCCCCACCCCAGGGCGTGCTGAGATGGCAGTTGAGACTGGATAGGTGGCACGCACCTTTAATTCCAGCTCCTGGGAGGCTGTAGACAGGTGATCACTACAAGTCCAATCTAGTAGTAAGACCCTAAACACCCTGTAGACCCTTTCCCTCAAAATACAAAGAAAAAAAAAGAAATTTTGGCTAAAAACTGAACTTTATACACATTCAACCAAGGAATCCAAGACCTTTTTGTCATTCTTAGATAAGAATCTACTATAATGGCCTAGGAATGCTTGTAAAGTTGACCTTTTCAAGGAGGGGAATCAGTAGTTATCTTCTTTGGCACCTGCTGAAAATTTGGTTTACACAGCTACAGTACCACATTATATAGAACTCAGTAAAGGTAACATAAACTGAATCTGGTGGTATGTGTATATGCCTGTAATCCCAGCACTCACACTCAGGAGACTGAAACAGGAACAATGTGATCAAAGCCAGTCTTGGGATAGTAAGTTTGTAATACGAGGAACCACAGCTCATTTCATCTGGTATTTTCATGTTTATCATTTCAGAGCTCATGAATTTTTATTTGGAGCTCTTGCTGAACTGGTGGATAATGCAGTACAACCAAAGCTGTATTGTGAGACTGAGAAGAAAAAAGATGATGTGAGATATGCAGAAACAGCTAGTTAAATCTCTGAAAAATAAAATACATGCTTTTTTTTTTTTGTGGAATCGGGGATTGAACTCAGGCCCTTGTGTTTGCTAGGGAAGTGCTTATTCCACTGAGCCATCTCCCGGGCCCAAATATATGCATTTTTTTTTCTTCCGAATGCCTTCAGGGCAGGTTTGGCTGGCATGAGTTGTGGGGATCCAACCACAGCAACCCGAGCCTGACTGCTTTGTTGAAGCAGCCACTTAAAGAACTGAGCTAAGGGGCAGGCCCACCAATATATGCGTTTTTAAAGCCACAGTATCATTGCTTTTAGGAGTTAGTGCATGTGACACTGTTAATACTTTAGGGCAGGGTTCTCAATAACATTTCTGAGTACCTGGCAGACCTTGATTAACATTTAAGAAGAATTCTAGAAACCTAAGTATTAGAGAATAAATTTCAGAAGTATGAATTAATGCCAATTGAGATTATAGATTTTAAAAAAAATTTTACGATTTTATGAGGAACCATAGCTCATTTCATCTGGTATTTTCGTGTTTGTCATTTCAGAACTACTCATGAATTTTTATTTGGAGCTCTTGCTGAACTGGTTGATAATGCAAGGTATGTAGTCTTCCTGCATATATTCTGCTTGAAATACAAACTTTTTGGGTTATTAGGACTTTTGCTTTCTGAAGACTTGAGCAAATACTTCTGTAGTAGCTGTAACTCCTTAGAGGCCCATTACCACAAAGTTTTTAATACTTTAAATACTTTCTTGATTAACTTAAAATTCATTTTTTTTCTCTATAGGTATTAGCCTAAAAATGGTGAATTTACTTTATTTCAAATCATTTTTCCTTGTATATTAGAGCAAAGTGATTGTGAAAAACAAGGACTTGATTTTTCTTTCTTTTCTTTTTTTTTTTTTTTTTGTGGTACCAGGAATGGAACTCAGGACCTTGTGCTTATTAGGCAGGTGGAAAAACAGGGAATTGAGATAGAAACTTGGGATCAAGTTAATGGGATAGATGACCTGTGATTTTCTTACCAGGACAGTACACCCCATGCACCCCTTTAGATCTTTGTCAGAGTTTTATATCTTTCTAGAATGTTTTGTTGTGAGGTTATGCTCACTGATCAAAATCTCTTCTGTTTGTAGCACATGTGCTTTAGAAGGAGTCACTTCAGCATTTTCTTTTACTGAATTGAAGTTTGGGTTCATTTATAGATAAAGATTCAAGTTTAAATAAAAATCTTGATAGTTACAGTTTGAAAATATTGTCCAAGTTTTGGGGGCCGGGGAGATAGCTCAGTGGAATAAGCACTTGGCCTGGCAAGCGCAAGGACCTGAGTTCAATCCCTGATGCGTGTGTGTGTGTGTGTGTGTGTGTGTGTGTGTGTGTGTGTATTCCAAGTTTTATTGAGTACAAACATAAAATTAAGATCATCTTTTATCTTCATTAAAGATGTTTAATGAAGAAGGCAAGAGTTGACAGTAATACTGCTAAATTGATCCCCATTTAGTGAACTTCCTTATATTTTGTAGTATCTGAAGAAATCACTTACACCAGTGATGATGAACCTTTTAATGAAATAAACAGCCTGTTGTGACATGTGTGCCATCAGTTCACCACTGATTTAACTATCATTACTTTTTTGCTGTTGTGTTTATGAAAGTATGCTAAGTAATACATTACTTGACTAGAAAACTTCCCTATTTTGTTTCAATGTTGTTTGACTTATTCTGTTCAGTTAAAAGTGTTATAACTTAATGGAAGTATGTTTGCATTTTGTTTAACTTAGAACAGAGCATTATGTTGCAGTTTGCAGCTTTTTGTGTAATAGACATGAACTGGAACTTTCTGGGCATATCCTTTGCTATTCCTGTACACATTTTTCCAATTTTTCTCATATTTTAAAATATTTTTTCTGTCATTGAGAGTAGACACATGTAGAGCTGGATGAATTTGGGGTTTAAATTTTTAACTTTTTTTTTTTAAAATCAAACTCAGGGCTTTTTGCATGCTAAAGATTCACTTTACAATTAAGTTGTATCCTGAGTGGACCTTTTGTGCTTAAAATCAATAAAACTTTCAGTTTCCTTGCCTGCAGTCAGTAGAATTAAGATAATATACTTGCAGACCTTCATGAAAGCCTTCATTGTTGACTGAATCCAGTGGCTGGAGTCTAACTGAATGCTTTAACTTGTTTTCCAGGTTAAAGAGGTTAATGTTATGGGCTCAGGAATGACTATAGTGTATATGGTAAAGATTCAGGTTTTTCACAGGTTGTGTCAGCTAATAGTTCTCCTTTTTTCTTAAAATTTTGGTGAGTAAAATGGATGCTTTTGGAATGTTTTACTATGATTGCAAATGAGTCAGTAAAATATATATTTTAAGTCATTTCTTGAAGTGTAAAAGGAAATATTCTTACGAGTTCTAAATTACATGTTTTTACAGTGAAATCAGTATTTTTAAAATGTATTTAGGCCCTGTGTATCATGTAATCTTGAGTAATTGGGAGCCCCTGAAGTTTTTCATAAGTATAAAAGTAAAGTGTTACCATAGGTAATATTTTTAATGTCCTCCTAAAAGAGAAATACCATGTATTTTGCTTATTGATATTCCATTGACACATCTTTTTTTCCTTCTTAATTTTGCAGAGATGCCGATGCCACCAGAATAGATATTTATGCAGGCAAGTCAGACGTTAGATCTTTCTTGTAATGCCCTGTTTCTCTAATGCACTTTCTACTACTTTGTCCCTAAGAAGAAATAAGTGGGGAATAACTAATTCTTGAAGCATGGAGAGATGGACATAAGTAGAAATGGGATAGCCCTGGTCAAGCGTGTTGTAGAAATCAAGAATATTGGGGCCAGGGAGATGGCTCAGTGGAGCAAGTGCTTCCCTGGCAAGCGCAAGGGCCTGAGTTCAATCCCTGGTTCCACAAAAAAAAAAGAATATTGGTTTGGAAACTAACGTCAGATATCAAATCTATGATAGAGACAAAAAGACATGGGGTGATAGAGTAATGTGACATAAAATGACCAAATACTGGTTATCTTACTGGAAGGAGGGATTTTGCTGGAGTACTAGTCCCTATGAGAATGGTGGCTGGTGTCAGTTGCAGAAAATTGCTGGTAAATGGGTTAGAATTAGGTTTGTACAGGTATTCTTGGGTAGAGGTGTCAAGTAGTAAAGAGGACTGCTTGGCCAAGAATTTGAGGCTTTTATATCCTCTGTTATTTTGGTTGAATTAACTGTTGTTTTGTACTAAAACCCTGTGTTTCCTAGAGTGGTTGTAACAGTAGAAGAATTCTTAGTCATTATGATTGAGCTTTTTTTTTTTTTTTTTTTTTTTTGCAGTTCCACTATGTTCTTTTTTTTATGATTGAGCTTTTTTTAAAAAAATAATAAAATAAAATCAAAGATATCCTGAGTTTTTTTTGCCAGTTCAGTATATTTACCAGCACTTAAAAAAAACAAAAACAAAACTAAAACTTCGGAAATGGAATAGAAGACAGCTTTTAAATCCAGTTTGAAGGGCCAGCCAAATAGTTCAGTGGATTAAGGTTGCCTGCAAGCAGGCGCAGGGGTCTGGGGTTTGATATCTTTGCTTGCAGTGCCAGCCTCGCCCCTGGGGTGCAGTGAGAGAACAGTTGAGACTGGGTGAGGTGGTGCATGCGTATAATCCCAGCTCTTGGAAGGCTGTAAACAAGCGGATCACTACGAATCTGATCTAGTAATGAGACCCTGAAAACCATATAGACCTTTCCCTAAAATACAAGAAAACAAAACAAAACAAATCCTGTTTGGTTAGTGTTAACATGTTTTCTCAGCACTCTTTCTGAAGTTTCCTGAAAGGTTTGAAGTTTCAGTTTGAATAATATTGCCTAGCTTCAGAGAAGTCTGTATTTATATAGGAATGTAGAGTTATCAAGTAAGCCCTCTTCACAGCCCCACTGGTTATATGGGACTGAGTACACAGTTTAGTAAATCTCAGAATCTTTAATGTCACGTAATTGTGAAAAATCCCCATGCCTAATACTATTCAGGAGGAAAGCAAATATTTCAGACTCCTACATGTCAGCTGTACTGCTTAAATGTTTTAAACCTTCTGGTGAAAGACCCTGCCAAAGGGGTAGAAATAGGCTTCTCTTATTTTTAGAATAAGTAACAGAAAAGAAATGGTACAACAGAAGAATGTTAGAACACATTTTCAGAGAGTACTATCTATTAAGTAATGGCTACTGAATATTTGGCCAAATGAAGGGGCCTTTTCAAGCCAGACCTGAATGTGCTTTTAGGAGCAGTAACAGTTACCTGTGTAAGAAATGACTATTTTAATCATTGTGTGCATGATAAAGCAGAGGATGGGCCTCTGCTCCAAGAGATGTCAAAGGAATAAATTCCAATAGCTAAGTCAATATTTGGAGGAAATATTTTTAAAAGATCATCTCAGCTCCCTCATACCACCTACGGTGGGTGAATCTCAGCAAGGAAATTCAATTCTTAACATTCAGAATGCAGAAGGACAATTGGATATCAATTTAAATGAAATAGACTTAGTATACATTTATTCAGTGCTTAGTGCTAGTTTTGTGCTTTGGGAAAAGTCCAGAGAGGATCAGAGGAAGCCTTTGCTCTAAAAGCTTCATTTCTATTTGGAGATAATGAGCATAGTAGTGATGATTAAAGAATGATAACTAGATCTTGAGGGAACAGTTGACAGTTAAGGCTTAAATGGTGTGATAGGTGCAGTACACATAGTTTTGGGAAAGGGCTTGTTTTACTTTTAAGTATTTTGGGATTAGGATTCTTGGCAGAATTATCCTTAACTTCACATTTTTCTTCCTCAGTGCCTTATTAATGCCTTCAGCAGGAGGAATAATGGTGTCAATATTGTAAAGTTGTTAGTACACATTATCTCATGTTTTGAAATTGTGTTGCTGTAGAATTTGGAAATCTCCTAAGCATCAGATTTAGTTTGAAATCCCTCTAAAAATCACATTTCAAATGCTGTCTTTTAAGGGAGAAAAAGGAACCAGCTTTTTAAAGTATAAAAGTATACATTTGTCCAAAGAATTCTTCTTAGTTGGATCTAAAGCATGATGATATGCTTGTCAGTGGACTGTAGGCTTTTATTGGCTTATTCAGTGTCTTGATTTCTTTTTTTTATTGCTGAGACAAAAATACCTAACACCCAAAGTTAACAGAGGAAAGATTTATTTGATTCACAATTTGTAGAGTTTTTCAGTTCATACAACCCAAGGCAGGGTGGCATAGCAGAGCAGCATCACAGAGGAGAAATAGTTCATGACAGGCAGAAGGCAGCAAAGCAGTGAAGTAGCAATCAACAAGCTACAGTCCTCTTTCTTTTCCTTATATTTTTTATCCAGGATACCTGCTTTTAGGGCAGATATCACTCACATCCTGGAGAGCCTTCCCATTGTCTCTCCCAGAACTGTACCAAACTAATCAGTGGGTTAATTTAGTGATTACACACCCTTGATCCCAGCATTTATACACACTATATCCAGCCATCTCTGAAAACCCCCACCCGTGACCACATGCCTAGGGGAAACATATAAGTCATAACATTCAACTTTCCTTTTGTGATGCCAGGGTGATGTTTAAATAAATGGAAAATTGGTTAGAACAAATGAAACAGATTAGTACTGCCTATTAGCATGAATAAAACTGTTAGATTGCAGAATGTGATGAACTTGGACGCCATTACATAAAAGCCTCTGGGATGTACATCATTCTATCATTAAATCTTTTAAGTTACATTTTACCCATGTCCCTCTTTTTCCAGTTTAGTAAGAGTGAGTAGTGAGGGCATGTGTAGCTTGGGGAAGTCAAGCTCTTGTCCATGTTGGACTAGGGTCTGAGGGATTACTGTGAAAATACTTTGGTTTTGCCGTTCCTATCTGGCTTACAAGTTGCTCCTTTTCTTTAGAAATGAATTTCTGTGGTAGAATGTGTGGCAGGGATACCCTTGTATTTCTCCTGAGGCTTACTCTAGAATGTTGCTTTAAAAGGGTGCTCCACCCATCAGCCCTGAGAGAAATGGAAACTCTTAGGTACCATCTCTGAACCTTAAAGTAGAGTCCAAAATCTGTATTTTTACAACTCTTCAGGCGATTCTTAGGCACACTACATTTGCTCTAGCTGGTTCTTTTCCTAGCCCCTCTCAGCTTAAACTGTCTGTCCTTTATTTTCTACATCATTTTCAGAGAATAGAATCTATTAAGATTGTGAACTCTTGGAGAGAGTGATCATACCTACATTGTTAGTTGCTCTTTTCTGCATCATAGGGCCAGGCATATAAGTGGTCCTCAGCAAATAGTTATCTAATAAATTAGTCATTTGTACACATGTTGTAGCCAAGCAAAGATACTACACTGCCTATATAAAAGTTTTGAAAAATTACTGCTGAATTATCTAATCTGCCCTGAAGTAGTATTGCATGTGACTGTGGACCTGGACATTACTAGGCATTTGCAAGATGTCAGTTACTATGTTTCCTTCCTTGTAAACTACATTTAAAGGCTTTGAATTGAAGATGATTCTAGATCCACTGTTAAGTGATGGTTATATGCTGAAACATTTTAGCCTGTGAATCTTGTCTTAATACAAAAGCCTAGAGAGTGACTTATTTGATAAGTGTTCAAAAAATACCAGTAATCCTTGGGGACTTTCCAGATACACTTGGCTCAAACCAATTTCTGGATCCCAGGGCAGAACCTCTGTGCACATTTTATGCCATAGTGTGCAGCAGATGACTCTAGACTAGAGTTAAAACACTTCAACCATGCTCTGTATGTGACCTAGTTTGAGACTCCATATTACACTTTGATTCTATCAGATGGAAACTTTGATACTTTTTTGTACTTTTTATGTATTTGTTCCTGCTTGCCACATCTTGTTTGAGTTCTCTAGACTTTGATGAGAGAGGCAGGGAGCCTGCCCATTAGCTCTGTTGTTTAAGTACCTGCTTAAGCGAAGGCATTCAGCCTCAGGATACTGTGGTTTGATCCCCAGATGGTCATGCCTTACCAGACCTGCCCTTAAGGCATCCTGAGCCAGCACCTCCCCACCAAAAAAATCCTGAACTTTCAGGCTGGGGAGATAGCTCAGTAGAGTAAGCAAGGTTCTGAGTTCAATTCCCAGTACCATTTTAAAAAAAAAAAAAAAAAAAAAAAAAAAAGTTAAGACGAGAGGGGCATTCCCATAGGGAGATTTTCTTTTCTATCAGTGTACTACAGGAAGATTCTCACTCTTGAACTTTCAAGAGGCACTTGTAATGAATGTTTAGTTTTCTAAACATAGTGATACTTGAAAATCTCTGCTTTATAGCCCTTCTGAAATTGCATTTTAAGTTACATTAACTATGCAGTAACAGAGTTTTAGCCTGAGAAGAAAACAAAGAACATTTTAAACAGATTAGTCAGTACAGGTAGTTATACAACAATGTTGGTGAGCTGTTACTTGAGGAAATTTAAAAAAATTTTTTTAAACTTTTTTTTTTGTTTATTTATTTTTACATTTATTTACTCTGTGTGTGTGTGTGTGTGTGTGTGTGTGTGTGTGGCCAGCTCAGCCCACCAGGGGGCAGGGCTGAATGGCATGTGGTGCTGGGGGATTGAACCGTGGTCCCTGTGCTTTGCCAAGGTTGTTCCAAGTAGGTGCTTTAGACCACTGAGCCATCTCTCCAGCCCCTTTAAAAATGTTTTATTAGGAACTAGATTTCAAAGCAATCTTAGGCTTGGACCTTATATAGACCTCCTTTCTGCTATTTGAATTGCTCCTTTTATCCACTGCCAACCAGTGGACTATGAATAACATCTCAGTTGGGGAGATTGGGGTTAGTGATACTCTTATAGCTTGTGTGAGTCTTTGCCTCCACTTCTATCTCACATCCATTTCTCTTGCTGATTCTGCTTCCCTAATTCCAAGGCTAGTTTTTTTATTGCTCATCTAGCCTTCAGAGTCAAAAGTTCCGTGGAAACAAGTATAGTTGTCTTCTCTCTTTGGAACTTTATTCTCCATTGTCTATGACATCCTGGACCCGTAACTGTTGTGGATTACAACTTGCTGAAAAAAGTTATTTACCCACTAGCCTGTTGTGGATCTTTCTTCTTGCCCAAGATACTCTATTGCAGTTGTTGTACATATTATTATCAAGGGACTGTTCTGTTTGCAGCTAAGCAGATCTAGCCAGGAACTAGGTACCTATTACAAGGGCCCATAGCTAACAGGGACTATGATTATGAATACACATAGTCCAGAAACTGTAGTGACCTGTGGTGTTGACATATATAGACACAGTAATTTATCTTTTAGATAGTAGCTGCTGCCACTGTATTCCCAGCTATGTCTGGCTTATCACTTTGTCTCAAGGCTGTTTCAGACTTAAAAGGGGAGGGTACTCTTGAGTTTGAGCTGTATTGATAAGGTATAATATGTGCTAGTTGGAATACTTTAGTGTTTTGTGATCTGTGGCATATGGTAGGATTGACAGTAATCCAGTTAGAGAAAGGCAGAAGGACAATTGAGATATATGTGAAATTCATGCATATTCGGTGGTCTTGGGTATAGTTAGGTGTTGGACTGGGTAATCTCCACTCTCCTTATAGATTTTCTCAAGATTTATCTTGAACTGGTAGGTCTTAGAGAACCTTTGATCAAGAATTCGTACCCTCATACCCTGAAAGGGTCCTCATGCTAGCTAGGACTGTTAAAAGCTTGGTTGGATATGACCCTTTAGAAGGTTCAAACTTCACATTGACCACTTTCTGTTCATACCTATAGTGCCACCCTCTCTGGAATAATAGCCCAGTAATGGCAGCTACTTCTTTTACAGAAAGACGAGAGGACCTACGAGGAGGGTTTATGCTCTGCTTTTTGGATGATGGAGCAGGAATGGATCCCAGTAAGTGATGAGATAGTTCTGTTTTTTTTTTTTGCAGGGGGTGGGGTGGGGGAGGCTGTACCCATTTTTACAAAGCACTACACAAACTTGTTTTTCTGTGTCCTCACTGTTGTGACAGTAAGATCCACTTGGAGAGGGAAACACCTCTTGCAACATCTTAGGCTTAATGCTGCTACGTATCTGTTGAGTCTTGTCCTGACCTAGAATATAGGGTCTGAATGACATCTTAAGTTAGTCAGATTACCTATCTTGACATTGTATCTAGTTTGTGCAACATTTTAAAGCTAGAATACCATGACCTCCTGTAGCCTGTTTACATGTTCTGGTAACAGAACACAGGTCAGTCACGGTACTGGCAGGCCAGATAAAATTTGTCTCCTTTTATCTCATGATTGCAAATTTCCTCAGTGAGAGGTGTTCAGCAGACAGATAGCTATTCTTTAGCCAGGCTCAGAGCTTTTACTTTGAGAAATCTGGGAGAGAAATGCCAACTTTCACTTTCTTCTGTGTTTGCCACCTCAGGTGATGCTGCCAGTGTGATCCAGTTTGGGAAGTCAGCCAAACGAACGCCTGAGTCCACCCAGATTGGACAGTATGGGAATGGGTTAAAATCGTAAGTATACTGGAAGCCTGTTACAGGGCCCTTCTGTCCTCCCCCTTGAATGCCACTAACTCTGAAACAGGAAAGTCAAAAAGAAGTGGCAATTTGTGGGTAGCTTACTAACTGTCATCCAACTGAGTTTGCTCCATAGTAGGAACCTCCATCCAAAGCAAGTTGGGGTGGCAGAGACTGTAGGTTTCTTTTGGCACTGTGTACTAGAACTGTACTTCATCTTTAGGAAAAATTCTTGTATTAGCCCTGTTGTTGAAGGTGTGAATTCTCTTGTGAGGTTGGGATATGTCTGAGGTGCTAAGGGGGTCATCTCATGGTGTAATGGTGTTCCTGAGCACCTGCTGTATGTCATGGTTTGTGCCAGGAACTGGGGATCCAGAGTGAGGAAGACACAGCTCTGCCTCCTGGAGGATGATGCTATTTCTGTTTAAGCTTTTATGGCAGGGTCCCAGCTATTATCTTTATATCCCTAGGGACTTCTCTGTTAACACTTGGTTCCCATTTGTTTAATGTTTGGAATGTGGTGTTCTGCTTTTGAGTGAAGCCCCAAGAGAAAGGTTCTATTTCTGAAATGCTCGCTTCCAGCTGTACATACCTTTGCATGGAATAAGATTTAGTGGAATTGGAATTTGTGCAAATGGAATTATGAGTCAGATTTCTAGTCTTGGTGTAGAAACATGTTTTGCTTGAGAGAGAGAGTGGTGGTTTTTATCTGTCAACAGCCTTGGTCGATCTTCTTGTGCAGGATGCAGTGGGTCTGGGGAGGAGAATGCATCCAAGGAAATCAGGTGTCTGACTCCTAGACTTTGTGGTTTCTGTCTCAGGGAGGAACTAAGTGGTAATGATGAATACGTGTCCTGCAATATGCTAAAAAACTTCACATAGATGCTCTCTTTTCCTACATGGTAGCCTTGTGATATGTCAGCACTATTTTCATTTTCAAATGAGGTCTATAGGGATGAAATGACTTGTTTGGAGATTTAAAGATGTGTATGCACAGAGCTGGGATATGAATGAGGTCTTTACAAAATGGAAGCTGCTGTCCATTTTATTTTAGTCTGACACACTAAGGCTTGTATTGTCAGTTCTGTAAGTTTTGGCTTCTTCTGGAAATTGTGATTAAGCATGGAGTGGTGGGACATGCCTGCTTTAATCCGAGCACTCCAGAGGTGGAGTCAGGAGGATTGACACACAAGGTCAGCCTGAGCTACAGAGTGAGACCCTATCTCAGAAAAGTTGTGATTAAAATACATAGCAAATAATACATGCCAAATAGGTTAAGAATTAAATTCTGTCATTGCTGTGAGAATCCCTACCTTAGTTTCTGGCTTTTAGTTGCTCTTGGATCTTTGCATGACAGAATCCCTGGTCTGTTTCAATGGTCTGAGTATGAATTACCTGTGATTCCAATGAAACTTTCCTTGAGATGTCTGATAAAGGTGATCTGAGTTTTCCAAAAGCAAAGAAGAAATGCTGATTGTCCTGTGAATTGTGAGTTAGCTGCTTCTATCTGATTCATTCAGTTTTGCAAATTGTTACACCTGTTTATTTCCTAATCTAATTGTTACACCTGTTTATTTCCTAATCTAGAAGTGGGGTTGTAACCTCTGACATTCTGCCTTAGAAAAGGAGATTCAAAAGAAAATAATGTGACTTTGAAAGACTGGAAAGGGATGTCCAGACATTTGAGAGTATTGTTATTAGCATATTCAGAAGATTTTTGTGAAGGCCTTGTTGAAGTGGTGCCATCTAGTGTTCAAAATAGGCAGCACATGTTTATAGCAGAGCAATTTTTTTTTTTTTTTTTTTTTGGTAATTTTAGGGAAGGGTCTACAGGGTGTTCAGGGTCTTACTACTAGATCGGACTCATAGTGATCTGCCTGTTTACAGGCGCATGCTACCATGCCCAGTCTCAGTCACCATCTCAGTGAGCCCCGAGGGTGGGGCTGGGATGGCAGGCCTGGCAGTTAAACCCCTGGCCCCTATGTCTGCTTGCAGGCACTTTAATCCGCTGAGCTATTTGGCCAGCCCTAGTGGAGCAATTTGTACTACCTAAATCTTGGAAACAACCCAAATGCCCATCAACTGAGGAATGGATAAAAAAGATGTGGTCTTTTGCTACAATGGTGTACCACTCAGTCATAAAGAAGGATAAACTTGAGATATTTATAGGCAAATGGATGCAATCTGAGAGCATACTCACAGGTGAAATTGAATCACATGTATAATTTTATATTGGCTCAATGGTGTAACAAACTGAAAGAGTATAGGTACAATAAATATTGTGAAATGGGAAGAAATTGTTCAAAAAGAAAGAGAAACTAGGATGGGGAAGAGGGAAAGGAAGGAAGGGAAAAGAAAAAAATACTAAAGTTATACTGCTAATTTCTCTTAGTTCATTGAGAAGAATGGTTTGTGTTAATATTGTTTGGAGAGTTCTTTATGCCCATATCTGTTCTTTCAATAACTACTTTGAAGATAACAATACACAATGTGTTAACTGTTATTTTCCAGTTATTTTATTATAATTTTTTTCCATTAAAAAAAGAATAGCACAATCATTTGAAATTAATGCAGTTGAAAATGTTCCAAGAGGAGAGTGATTTGTAGTGAGACTAGGGCTGCCAGCAGAAAGATGATGTTTTAGGATTTTTACTCTTTATACCCTGTCGTCAGGATCAAAGACAAGAAATAAAGACAGTTTTTGGCAAGTTAGAGCAAGAGATAACTTTGACAGAGGGAAAATAATATGCCTCCATTTGCTATCTGCAAACTTCAGAGAGGAAGGAACGCTGAAGCTGAAGAGGAAAAGTCTGCCACCACCTGAGTACTGAAGGAGAAACAGGACTTGGTAGCCTTCAGAATATCTCTAGAATGTCCTGGGAATCTTTCCTGACTGGGGAAATGGAGCATGACATTCATTAGTGTGCTTGGCATGCCAATCTTGTTTGTGTTTATACTCAGAATGAGACTTTCCAACTTCGTCATCTCCTTGGAGAATTATGAGGACTAATGAGGTAATAGCTGTAAAGCCCCAGAAGCTGTTCAGAAGAAAAGAGCTAAACAGCCTCATTGTTGATTGGGAAGTCCTCCCATTGGTGCTAGGCTCTGCCCTGTTTTGTTTTGCCTAGAAAGGCCTGTCCCTGCCTGCCCCTCAGAAGTTTTACCATGACCAAACAGGAAGGAAACAAGTGATTCCATCTAGACTTTTTCCCGTGTGGAAGTCTGCCTCAAGATATAGTTCCCAGAAACCAGTGACATCCAAAAGTAGAAATCTGCCTATATTATTAGTTTGCTTGAAGCAATTCTGAGAACAAAGATGGTTGTAATTGACTCACATGAGGCTTCCTTGAACATCATTGTATTTTTTTTTTGGCCTCTACATTTGGTTGATTTGGGTTCATACTCATATTGCCCCTTGGAGAACTTCGGAGCATAGGCACTGGGCTATTCCCTTGGTGGTCCTCTTGCTGTTTGGTCAGTGGACATGAGGGTGAGAACTGCATGTGATCCGCGTAGAAGGTGACAAGTGGAAGGTATTAGCTACTGGAGTGGAACCTGTTAGTGGCATAGACAGAAGACATAGCAGCCCTTATGTGATAGTGATGAACCCAGAGGTCAAGGGCAGCAAGGTTACTTGTTAGTGTTGTAGCAGTAAGTTGGGAATGATACTAACCTTGGAGCCTTTGGTCAGCAGTGAGTGCATCCTAAAAGGATGGTAAAGGAGCCCTGAATGGAGGGTAAGTATGGTAGACAAGGTTTTAAGTAAAGAAAGAGTAAAGCAAGGACTGTTGGATGAATGATGAGGAAACAAGGGCTGAGGACCTCAGTTCAGGGACTGGGATCGAGAGACCTTCAGAGAACCCTTGAGAGGCAGTTTCCATCATGACCAAAGGGTGGACCACTCATTTTTTTAGATGAGCTTTGAATTTCTAGAAAAATAACCTGTTTTCTGCTTCCATTTCAGGGGCTCAATGCGTATTGGGAAGGATTTTATCCTGTTCACTAAGAAGGAAGATACCATGACCTGCCTCTTCCTGTCTCGCACCTTTCATGAGGAAGAAGGCATTGATGAAGTAGGTCCCTTCTTGGTGCCCAGAATCACCACTGCACATTTCCTCACTCTGCCTAGGCTCCTGTTAAAAGCCTATGCCCCCCATTACAGATTTGGCTGGTTGAATATACCTATGTTGGTTGAGGTAAATAAAGCAGATGATACCTTAATATGAGAGGAAGTGAAATATTAAAGCACTTTAGAGAACATCTGTCTTATTTCTGAAAATGAGAACATCAAATGGCAGGAACCAAGAGTTGGATCAAAGCTCTTCTAGATCTGCAGCTTGACTGGTCTGTGGAGGCTGTCGCCATGGAGAGCTATGTTATCAGCAGGAGTATTTTGGGCTTCCTTTTAGGGGTAGAGATTGAAACTGTCAGTAATAATGGAAGTGGCAGTGTTTTTTTCGCACAATGATGATACTGTGAAATGTGTTACAAATGTGTATTTCTTTTTAAGGAAATGTGTTGTTCTAACTGCATAAATTAGAAACTGAATTTAGACCCATCAGGGCTTGAACAGGTATTTAAACCACAGGAGTATGTGAAAAACATCCATTTGAGCTTGTTAAATGGCAGCTACCGCTTGGTCTCACTTTGAGAGTAACTCCACCTCAGTGGTTATTACTATGCTGGCAAAAAGTCTTAATCCAGAATATTTTTGTATAAAATACTTTGGACAGGGTGCAGTGGTACACAACTGTAATCCCAACAGCTTGTGAGGCTGAGGCAAGACGATCATAAGTTTGAGGCCAGCTTGGGCAACTCTGTGAGACTTTTATAAACTAAAAGATGAAAAAAGTTGTGGTAGATAGCTCATTATGAAGACCCTGGGTTCAGTTTCTAATACCACCAAATAAAAATAGTTTGGTAATTAGCTTTGTAAATGAAATACATGCCAACCAATCCTTTTTTATGGTCTGCTGGCTCCAGTGTCTACAGAACTGTCTGTTGTTGGAATACGTAGGAAGTTTTCTGTTCTGTCTAGCCTCAGACTTGACACTTCTTACCTCTCGTAAGTAATGGAGGCTAGAGTTTGAGGGACAGGACAAAGAGGTTCTATTGAAGAAACTTAGGGCTGTTACATAAGCAAATGATTGAATTCAGAGTTTCCATCTAATTCCTCTCTTTTGGTTAGTTGTAATTGAATTTGTACTGGTCCTGTTGAGATCTGAGCATTGGGAATGACAGGCTGTCTTTTCCTATAGGCTTTACTTAGGAAGGCAGAGGGTTTGTTCTCCTTTTTGTTCATTCAGCATACTTGGACTGACAGATTCACTGCAACTGGGCAAGAGCAGGCTTCCTGGGGAAGGCAGGACAAAAGGACATAGGCTGGGCTGGGATGTTCAGCATGGTAGAAACTGCTTGCTCAGAGTGCTGAGGTAAGATGAAGGCTATAGAAGGGGATTGACAGTCAAACCTGTGGTGATCTCTATAGATAGAGAGGGTCAAATCGGGCTTGACCTCAAGGCTTTGTTGAATGACAGAGACTTTATTAAGTAGAGTATGCCAATATCAGGTTGTGTTTACAAAGGTCTGTATGTTGATTAGAAAGATTGGGGTGTGTGGAGTGGACCAGCTCATAGGCCTTTTCTCTATGGTAGCTTGTTGAGACTCACAGCAGGGAGGTAAGAGAAATTGATGGACTCGTCATCTCTTTAGGATGTGGGTCTTACAGGTGTGTTGCTATATCATGGAGGAATAAAAGGGAAGGGAATGGTCTTGCAAGTTTTCTTTTGTGGTACCAGGGATTGAACTCAGGATCTTGCACTTGCTAGACAGGCACTTATGCCACTGAGCTATATTCCTGACTCCTCTTGCAAGTTCTTGAATGGCAGTTGGGAATAGTGGGCTGCCTGGAGCTGGGAAAGAATGGAAGAAGGGCCGTCTAAAGTAGGGAGAGTATAAATTTGTTCTGGACATGGGAAGAAGTATGGGTCTGTAGTTTGAGGAAATTCTTCTGGGATTCTTGATAGCAAATGAGCTCGATGCACAAAGAGTAGATAGAGAGGATGACTTGGGATCTAGGCAGGAGAACATCAGATGGACAAGGGGAGAAGAGGGCACACAGAAGAGTGGTGAGTATGGTAGGAAAACTGGGAGAGGGGCCGGGGAGATGGCGCATTAGAATAAGCACTTGCCTGGCCAGCACAAGGGCATGAGTTCAATCCCTAGTTCTGGGGGGGAAAAAAAAAAAAAAAAAGGAAAAAGAAAACTGGGAGAGTAGTAAAATTGAAGCTGTCAAGAAAAAATGATGGCTAGTCACTGAGAATGATTACCTTTGGTTTAAAGTGGTGACATTGTCTCCTGGAGCTTCTTTGAAGAATGAGAAATATAGAATGAAGGTGCAAGTTTATAGAACACAAATGGAACTTAGTTCCTTTGGTGGAGAAGCTAGGTTGAAATTTCTTCCTTACTTGGTGCTAGAAGGTCACTATTTTGGATTATACTCTAGTGTGAACTCAGCCAAGATTTCAAAATAACATCATTTTTGGCTGAGGAGGAATGTGTCCAAACCAGCCCCAAAGTTGAATGCTTTCAATACACAGCTTCTTAGAAGCCAGCAGTATCTCAGAACTACTAGTAGTTTATCACCTCTGGCTCTTGTGAAAATACAGAGAACTTTTGTTTTAAGGATAGATCTTCTGAGGTCAAACCCCTAAGCTGCCTCAACTAGTTTGGTGTGTAGATAGAATCCTGGCAGCTAGCCTTCTGCTGGGTTCAGAAGGCTGCTGGCTTGGAGGAAGAGGGAGGGGCATGGTGAAGCCATTGGGGAACTGGTGTTTGGGGTACATTTTTCTTCAGAAAGAGAGTTTTAAAAACACTACTCAGACATAAAATCAGATGGCATATATGTGGAAGAATGTATTAAAGCATATGTACAGTTTAGAGGATAACTGAAGAAAACACCCATGCAGTTACCATTATGGGCCGACGTTAGATGTTCCCAAGAACCATCACCAATCATATTTACTATTGTGCCCCTGAAGGAAGCATCTTTAGGTAACTTTTGGGATGACTGTTTCCTTTTTCTCTACAGTTTGTCACCTGTGTATACATTTCTAAATAGTAGTTTAGTCTTCCCTGGTTGAATTTTACATAAGTAAACTATAACTATAGATACTCTTAGATCTGCTTTCATGTAATATGTTTATGAGACTCATTCACCTTGATACTAGTAGTGAGTTCATTTCATTATTGTATACTTCATTGTATAAATATATCACATTTTTAATTATCCACTCTAGCAAATATTGAGGTTCCTATACTTATTTACTGATATGTATGTGCAAAATTTTTCCCTACTTTATTTACCCAGGATTGAAATAAGTTGTGTCATGTGTGTCTTAGGTTTCACAAGATAATGCGAATATGTGTCTCCCAGTGGTAAGAGTAGCATTTTTAATAAATTAAGAAAATGTCCAGGAACATCCAAATAAAGAGCTGCCCTGACGGTGACCCTGGTGCATAAGCATCACATCTTGAGAGGAAAAAGTGTCTTGAAGATGTCTCTTGGCAAGGGGCAGAAGCCAGAGCCTTTGGTGTCAGACATGGATATTAGGCCTCAGCTTCAAGCAGTATTGAACCATTGACTGAGAAAGCATAAAATAGCTGCTTATTTTCAGGGAAGGTGGTTCTGGGATCTCAAGATTTCAGCTTTTGCTTACTTCAAAGGTGATAGTCCCATTGCCCACCTGGAATGCCCGGACCCGGGAACCCATCACAGACAATGTGGAGAAGTTTGCCATTGAGACAGAACTCATTTACAAGTATTCTCCATTCCACACTGAGGAGGAAGTGATGGGCCAGTTCATGAAGATTCCTGGGGATAGCGGTAAGTAGGCTTTGAGCCTGCAGCACCTAGAATCTTGAAGCTCCACAGCCACAAGTGGTATGGGAATAGCCCAGGTGTGCCTGACAGAATGAAAGGAAGATTTCTGTTCCCCAGGAACGTTGGTGATCATCTTTAATCTCAAGCTCATGGATAATGGAGAGCCTGAACTAGACATAATCTCAAATCCAAGAGATATCCAGATGGCAGAGACATCCCCAGAGGGCACGTGAGTGTGGCTGGGAAATGAGGCAGGCTGTGGAATTGGTATTTATTCTCTTCAGCAGGTGACTTTAGGGAAAGAGAGGTGAGCTTGTTACCTGGATTTTGGTGGTAGCATTAAGAGTTTGATGGAGCTGAGAGCACCACATTTGCTTACCACAAAGTGGCAGAGATGAATATTAAGACAACAACTCCTCAGTTAAACTAAAGAAAAGATTACTACATTCCTGCTGCCTTGAGCATGTAGTACATGCATGGCTGTCCCATTGAGCAACTTGAATCAGTAGTGGTTAGCTATTTAGAATGGTATTCAAATCAGAGCCATCAAACAGCAAGACAGGAATTATGGTCCTTTGTGAAAATGTTAATGGTCTTAGTTCCAACTTCTGTGTTTGACATAGAAAACTGAGGCCTAATGAGGGGGAGTATACAGAGGTCGCTGGCAGGGCCAGGTGAAATGCCTGTGAGCACAGTTAAGCTAGGGTGTGAAAAGGGACAGGATATAGTACCCATGCTTGAAGGAGTACCCTATCAGGTTGGCCAGAGAAGCTAAGAAGTGAGGTGGAAAGGTGAAGAGCCTTTAGAGAGGATGTCATAGCTTGGGTTGGGCTTGTGTGTTGTGTGATAGCACTCTATTCCTGCCACTTCTAGGAAGCCTGAACGGCGCTCCTTCCGAGCCTATGCTGCTGTGCTGTACATTGATCCCCGGATGAGGATCTTTATCCATGGGCACAAGGTGCAAACCAAGAGGCTCTCCTGCTGCTTGTACAAGCCCAGGTAGGGGCCTGCCTACTTTAGCCAGGAATAAAGATAGGGCCTGATTACATTTCTCTGGGGTGATGTTACAATGTGAGAAGCTCTCCCAGTGCTATTTTGGAGCTTTTAAACTGCATATTCTTTATCAGTGTTACTTCTAGATCCTGAGGGAGGGACAGATGTGACTGCCTTTGGGAGGTTGGCTGGCTAAGCTTGTCTAACATGATGTGGATAATGGCATAGTGAATTGAGTTTCTTGCTTAAGGGTCTGGACTTCTATTGAGGTTTATTTTCTGTTGTGAGATTAGTAACAGGTGAACATCCGAGAGAGCAAGAGGCCAGGGGCAAGTGGAATAATGTGTTTACTCTTTTTGCCAAAATGCTTGCATTTGTCTTTTCACAGAAGCCATAGCAGCACAGCTTGGGAGGAGCCAGGAAGGCAGGGTCCTTCCTAAGCATCATAAGTTAGCAGTCAGCCCTACCAATAATTGGTCCTTAAGTTGGGTTTTCCTTTGCTCAGGATGTACAAGTACACATCTAGCCGTTTCAAGACCCGTGCGGAGCAGGAAGTGAAGAAAGCAGAGCATGTGGCACGGATTGGTAATGTCAATCTTTGTGTAGGAGGAGGGCAGTGGGTAGGGGCCAGCTGGGGAACATGACTTTTAGCATAATGTGGCATCAAGGAGAGAAGGGTCTGTCTACTACCCAGGAACAAGGCTGTTCTCTGAACTCTGGTCCATTTTTTGTCTAATTCTTCCCATATCCAGGTCCCTCAGACCATTTTTACCCCAGGGCTTCTCATCCCACCTTATCTAAAGCAGTATAAAGTCTTTGGCTTTCTCAAAATGAAAAATCCTTTTCCTCTGCCTTGAATACTTGTGAATTGTTTTTTCCTGACTACAGTGAAGATACCTTAAAATCTTTCACCAGGCTGGCCAGGACTTTTCAAGGTTTTTCTAACCTGCTTTATGCAAGTGATTGGCTGAGACTTCTTTAGCCTTGAACTTCTGCTGAGGACTTGATTGCCCTTAGTGTTGGGGTGCCTGTTTTGATTTCTTTATGAAGTTTGAAAAGTTGTTCTCAGTTAGGAAGAGTACCTGTTTTCTTTGGGATCTCTATAATATTTTTGAATGCCAAATTTTTTTATCTGAAGCTATTCAGCCCAGGCCTGGGGGATGTTCCCTTGTAGCTCACTAGCTGTTGTTCCTCCATTTGGCCTTTTCTGTGCTGGTGTACATACTTCTTGTGTGGCAGGGACTGCGAATCTAGGAGGGATGACAGTTTTAAATGTTTGAGTTCTTTATTGTGGTTTCTTCTGCGTTTAGCTGAAGACAAGGCCCGGGAGGCAGAGAGCAAAGCTCGGACATTAGAAGTACGCTTAGGTGGAGATCTCACGAGGGACTCCAGGGTAAGGCCACAGACCCATTTAGTTGTTTGCCAGTATTACCTGGGTCAAACCCATGTCCTGTGAGTCTGGGCAAATGAAATTACACCTTTTAAGTTTCTGTGGTCCATTTTCTGTAGAATTAAGGAAGTCTACAAGTGTGGTTAAATTGTGTAGATGCAATACAGTATTTTCTGCTGTGGCCCTGTAGACCTCTGCTCACCTGATGTTGATATATGTATCCAGGTGATGCTGAGACAGGTCCAGAATACTGCCATCACGCTGCGCAGAGAAGCTGATGTCAAGAAAAGGATCAAAGAAGCCAAGCAGCGGTGCGTTCTGGGGCTTTTGTTTGAGATGTTGCCTTTGTACTGATTGATAGGTTGCTGTTCTGTCATCAAAACTTCTTTAAGATAATCAGTGTTGTGATCCCAGATACTTGTCAAATGCCCTATAGAGGAGGGATCTTTCTCTGAGCCCTTAGCTCTTTCCCAAGATTATAAAAGGCTAGGCAGAGCTAACCTCTCAAATACCAAACCACTCTTTTTTATGTTGCAATATTACATTTATAATTTATTCTTATTAGAAATATAGAATAGTGCTGTAGATTGAGTTTTGAAGACTTTTTCCATTTAGAATGTGCATTTGCCCTAGGTTAATAAATTATCCTTGGCCCCTTGTCCCAGCTCCAGTCAGGAGCTTCTTAGGGGTCTCAGTATGAATTCTGATTTGCTTCTTACTGGCTTCCTTGCTATAGGCTTAGGTTTCAGATTACTTCAGTCTAATTCCACTGCCCATGAAATCTGCTCCTCAGATTCCAAGATTTTGTTGACATGAATCAAATGATTGTGTCCTTTCTCATATGTTCTTGTGAATGCTTACCTCTATAAGTTAATTTGTGTCACAGCAGTGGAGTTTGGGGGTGGTATGAAGATAACCTTGTGCTTATCCATGTTAACTATCTTTGTAAGATTGGTAGCAGTGTCATGATAATCTTCATACTTAAATTCATCTCTGTTTTGTTACCAAAAGGGTAAATTGTGTGCTGCTAGTTAGAGTCACTGCACAGTACAGATCCGTATCAAATCTAAGAGATCACATATTGAATTAGAGATATAGAACTTTGCTACACATGTCTCAAGTTTAAGTTTATTTTAACACATCTTCGTTGCCATGTTATTTGTATGGTAATAAGTAGATATGGTTGGATTTTTTTTTTTTTTTTGTCTTTGTTAGAGCACTCAAAGAACCTAAGGAACTGAATTTTGTTTTTGGGGTCAATATTGAACACCGGGACCTAGATGGGATGTTTATCTACAACTGTAGCCGCTTGATCAAGATGTATGAGAAAGTGGGCCCACAGCTGGAAGGGGGCATGTGAGTACTACCCATGGGGAGCTTTTTAGCTCAGAGTTGTGGCAGGAGAGAGCCAGTGAAAGTAACAGAGCAGTGTTTTTCTCTTTACAGGGCATGTGGTGGGGTTGTTGGGGTTGTTGATGTGCCCTATCTGGTCCTGGAGCCTACACACAACAAGCAGGACTTCGCTGATGCCAAGGAGTACCGGCACCTACTGAGGGCAATGGGGGAGCACCTGGCACAGTACTGGAAGGACATTGCCATTGGTAATGGGGTCAGGCCACTGGGCCTTTGCCTTTTCTCTTTACCTCCAGTTTTTGAGATGTTCTTATGGCATGAGAAGGTGAATGAGACGAGGCTGGCTTCTGTTGTGAATACATGACTTGGTTTTCTAGCTCAACGTGGAATCATCAAGTTTTGGGATGAGTTTGGCTACCTCTCTGCCAACTGGAACCAGCCCCCATCCAGTGAGCTGCGTTATAAACGCAGGAGAGCTATGGAAATCCCTACCACCATCCAATGTGGTAAGTTAGGTGTTTGGAAGCTTTTTCTTGACTTGACTAATACTTGTAAGGTTCCACCAGGGATGTAAATCTGTTTGATCGTGGTCCTGTGAGCTTAGTCTTGAAGCTATACCTGTTGTTCCTTTTCTGAATAAGGCAGGTCACTTGACTTCTCAGGCCTTTCATTCCATAGCTAGGCTAGGCTCTCTGGGTTTGGTATCAAGTTGTTTCTATATTAAGTGGGTAACTGTGCCAGGATCCTGTTATAGGAGGGAAAGGGTTGGAGAATTAAGAGTCGTAAGACATTTTAAGTTTTCATCCTTACTGGAATTACTGTCCTTAAGAATTAAAGTTATGTATATACAGGCAGAGTTGGAACATGAAAAATTGTTGTGTATTGAAAGTCTGGCATGTATTTGCTTTGGGTCTGGATTCCAGATACTAGTGGCTGCTTATTTGTGTGTTTTCTGTGTCTCAGATTTATGTCTGAAGTGGAGGACCCTCCCCTTCCAGTTGAATTCAGTGGAAAAAGATTATCCTGACACCTGGGTTTGTTCCATGAACCCTGATCCTGAGCAAGACCGGTGAGTACTTTCTCTGACAGTGTCATTTACTTTGGGGGTAAATAACTGTATTTCTTGAGGTCATTATTCATATCATACATCTCTAGTTTGATGCATGTACTAAATGTCCAAGAAAGAGCAGCAGGTGTATATCCTGCAAGGCATTTCATTTCCATGAATTGGAAACTCCAAGGTGGTTGCTGCTTTGAGAGAAAAAGGTTGGCTGAAGAAGAACGTCCCTACTCTGCTAGAGCCCTGTTTTGCCCAGCACCTTTTCTCTGTAGATGTGAGGCTTCTGAGCAAAAGCAGAAGGTCCCCCTGGGGACATTCAAAAAGGACCCAAAGACACAGGAAGAAAAGCAGAAGCAGCTATCAGAGAAAATTCGTCAGCAGCAGGAGAAGCTGGAGGCCCTTCAGGTGCGTGGGTCATTAGCAGTCGGGAGAGCTATGGGCAGAACTTGTGCCAGGGGATTGCTTGGGACGGGATCCATTAGTAGTGCCCCTGTTTCCTCAGACTCAGTTTCACCCTCCATTCACCCAAGCATGTGCATGCCAGGGCTTTGCAACCCCAAGCTCAGATCCAAATACTTTGATTTTCAAATATCCTTTTTTAAAAAAAAAAAGACAAAAACTAGTTTATGTACTCTAAAGTGATCAATTTATTTAGAATGTATAAAATCACAGAAAAATAAAATACTGGCAAACATATGCATAGTACTCATAAATAGTATTTTAAACAGTAATAACAGCATGCTATTTTTTAATATATATACATTTATATATATTTTTTTCTTCATAATGTTTTAGAAAGAATCAAAAGAATTTGCAAAATACAGTGGCTTTTTAAAAATAACTTGTCAAATTATCCTCTGGAAGATGTGTTAATTTCTATTCTTTACCAGCACATATGAATATTATTTTTAAATATTTTTGCAAATTTGAAGGGCAAAGGTAAGCATTTTATAATTCTAATTACCTTTATTTTTTTAAGATTTGATAATTTTTTCATATTTCCACTTAAAATTTTGGATTTCTTGATTTGTCCATTTTTTCTAGGTATGTTTTATTTCATATTTGTTACAAAATGTCTTTTTTCTCTTTGTTGAGACAAAATGCCCAGCATCCAAAATTAAATGAGGAAAAGTTTATTTGGCTTACGTCTTGTAAAGGTTTCAGTTCAGAGTCGGCTAGCTCCAAGATAGGGTGGTATGGCAGAGGGGTATCACAGAGGAGAAACAGTCCATGGCACAGGAGAGGCAGGCAGGAGGCAGCAAGCAGCAAATAAGGAACAAGCAATGACTATATTCCTCTTTCTGTCCTTTTTATTTTATTCAAGCTACTTACTTTTAAGGGCAGACAACACTCACACCCTTAATCCTCGCATTAAATCTGAATCAATCCCAGCATTACATCCTTGATCCCAGTATCATGCACTTTAGATCCAGCCTCCTCTGGGTCACCAATGGCTGTGTGAGGCTTTGGGAGGACATCTAGATACAAGCCATAACACAGAAGTAATTTTCAACCAGGACTGGTGGTACACACCTGTAACCATAGCACTTCGGAGGCTAAGACAGGAGAATCACTGTTGGTTCTAGTGCAGCATGAACTGTATAGGGAGACCTTGTCTCAAAAAAAGTTTTTCTTTCTGGCTTCTGTTTAACTCAAAATGTCTTAAATGTTCCCCCAATCTGCTCAATTCTTCTGTCTTTTCCAACTAGGAAAACCTTTTTCAAGTTTTTCTCATTTACTAGGTCTTTTCCACCTTTTATAGAAATGTATTTCAGGGATACTTCTTCCAGTCACTCAGGTACTGGAGTAATTAAAGAGCATTCTGTATACAATTTGCTGATTTGAATATATTTTTGTTTTTCTAGTGAGAATGGGAAGCTAATAGGAGTAGGACTGTGGCCCAAGTTTAGTTTGTTTTGCTTTCTTTTTCTTCACTGTCCCAGACATATAGTAAGGATCTAAAAAGAGTTCCATTGAGCATACCAAGATATACAAACAACTTCATCATCAGATTTGCCTTGTAGAAAACCACCCCCATCCGCTCTCAAGCTGACCTGAAGAAATTGCCCTTGGAAGTGACAGCCAGACCTTCCACTGAGGTAAAGCAGGGGTATGGGAGGGACCTTGGCATCTTTTACTAAAATCAATATTCTTATTCTTTGTGAATTCTTTCTTAGGAACCTGCTCGGAGACCTCAGCGTCCTCGGTCACCACCTTTACCTGCTGTGATCAAGAATGCCCCAAGCAGACCACCTTCTCTGCAAGCTCCCAGATCAGTCAGCCAACCCCGAAAGGCTCCCATCATCAGCAGTCCCCCAAAGCCTCCTGCTCTGGCAACCCGGGTAGAGGCCAGTACCTCCAGGGTGCTACAGCTACCTGAGGTACCTCGAAAGCCTGTGAATACTCTAGTTAAGACTGCACCCAGGACCACGTCTCTGGTGCAGCCACCATCATCATCTCTACTGCCGAATTCCAAGAGCTCTCGGGAGGTCCCTGCATCCAAAGCTGTCAAGACTCCAGTGGTCAAGAAGCCAGAGCCACCTGTTAAACCCTCCCTGGTAAGATGCTATGTCCCTTTGGTCCCCAGCAGAGGGTCCCACTGCTCATGGGAGTGAAATTGTGTCATGTCAAAGCTGTACTGGGGGAAATGTAGGAAGATCACCAGACCTAAGTCTTTTTTGCTATACCCGAGGAGGGAGACCCTAGATAGCTAAAGGGACTTGGTCAGGGACACAGAGAAAGTCAACTCTTTATACAGGGAGCTCTTCATAGCTTTTTAAAGCTTTGGTCTGCCACAAACTTGAATCACCTCCATTGGCTTCTTACAGTATGGGCATAGGTTGACAGCCTGGTGACAGATGGCCTTGGTGGACTGTGGCAGTGGTCACTGTGTGAGGAAATTCACAGCTGGATGGCCAGATAGTCTGAACTGAAAACTGGTAGTAAACTGAAAAGCTCCTGTGACAGCTTTGAGCAGAGGTCCAGGTGGCGCAAGGTTGTATGTGTAGTGAGTATTACCAGGTAGGAATTGAGAAGAGTACCAATCCCTCTCCAGGTAGCTTCTTTAGGCTATATGAGGTCTTTCTGTATGATGAGGACTAAGGAAGGCCCTTCACATTCCCACTTTCTTTTTATTCTAGGCTGCCACTGCTCGAAAGCGGAGTCTTGGGGTCTCTGATGAGGAAGAAACTGAGGAAGAGGCTGAGAGGAAGAAGGAGAAGTATAAGCGGGGAAAATTTTCTGTGAAGGAGGAGAAGAAGGAATCCATTGAGGTAGGGCTTGAGATGAGTTTCTTAAGAGCTTCCCTCTCCAGAACCTGTAGGACCCTCCTCCTCTTGCATTTTGTGCTAGCTCCTGTTGTTGAACTGAACCTTACACAGACCTAGTTGATCTCTCAAGGACTGTCAGTCACTCAGATGACTAGAGCCCTATGAAAATATTTTGTTCTTGCCTCGTATTTTGTAGGCCAGTGACTTTATAGAGTGATTTAAAAAATTGCAGCATAAAAAAACTGTAAAGGTGAGAGCTGATAACCCAAAGTGTCCATACCACAAAGTCAGCCCTGTAATGGGTACAGGGATGCTTTTGACAGTCTTTTTTTTCTTACAGCTCTCAGACAGTGCTGGGGAAGAAGAGCCAACTGACCTCAAAAAGGCTCAGAAAGGTGAGTTTGGAGAAGTTCATGGTAGCTCAGGTTGAAAGTATAAATGAGGACCTGCCAAATAGCTTAGTGGATTAAAGTGCCTGCAAGCAGGCACAGGGGTTGGGGGTTCGATCCCTGGGCCTGCCATGCTGGCCCCACCCCCGGAGTGCACTGAGACAGCAATTGAGACTGGGCGTGGTAGCACACATCTATAATCCCAGCACTTGGGAGGCTGTAAACAGGAGAATCACTGAGTCCGATCCAGTGGTGAAACCCTGAACACCCTGTAGGGCCTTCCCTAAAAATACCAAAAAAAGTAGAGTGGGTTTTTTTTTGCCAGTAGCAGTTAAATCTCAAGGCTTGGAGTTTTTTTCCCCTGGGTCAGGACTATGCAGCAATAGACCCAAGTCTAATACCAAGTAGAATTCTGAAGATAACACCCCCTTCATATTTGCTTGTATTTTTTATTTTCTGATTGTGTGTGTGTGTGTGTGTGTGTGTGTGTGTGTGTGTGTGTGTGTGTGATGGTGGAAATTGTGGTTATTTTCAACATTTAATTCCATGGCATTCAGCTCTGATAGCTCATCATCCTATTGTTGGCATCCTAGGGACAAATGGAAAAGGAGACTGTGGTGGCTAGGTTGTGTGTGCCTGGTATAACAAGGGCAGGGAGTCTTCTCCCTCTTAAAGGTAGTCTTAAGTGAGTGGGTTACTCTAATCTGATTCTTCAATTCTCAACCTCCAAATTTTCAGATAAAGGGCTTCATGTGGAAGTACGTGTGAATAGGGAGTGGTACACAGGCCGTGTCACAGCTGTGGAGGTGGGCAAGAATGTGGTACGGTGGAAGGTGAAGTTTGACTATGTGCCCACAGATACAACTCCAAGAGACCGCTGGTAAGGAATGCTTTTCTGGGGGTTGACCAGTATGACAGAAGTTGGCTAGGACAGGAGGAAAGTCCTCAAGCTCTTCTCTCATCAGTCTATTCAAACAGGCCAGGACAGAGGTGTGATACAAACTATGTCCTCCATAGGGTGGAGAAAGGCAGTGAAGATGTACGGCTGATGAAACCACCTTCTCCAGAGTATCAGCCCCCTGACACGCAGCAAGAGGGTGGGGAGGAAGAAGAGGCTATAGTGGTTCAGGAAGCTATAGCCATGGCAGAGCCCTCTACCTCTGACTGTATCCGCATCGAACCTGACACTACTGCTCCAAATACCAACCATGAAACGATTGATCTTCTGGTCCAGATTCTCCGGTTTGTTCCTTTTGTCTTCCAGCTCCAGGATGACATTAACTCTCCACATTTTCCATGCCATTCTGAGTTCCTGTCCCTATCTTTTTTCCTTAGGAATTGCTTACGGTATTTTCTGCCTCCAAGTTTCCCCATCTCAAAGAAGGAGCTGAGTGTTATGAATTCAGATGAGCTAATATCTTTTCCTCTGGTAAGTCTGTCTGACCTTGGATTTTCTGCTGGCTACCCCTGCCACACTATATGCTTGTGATTACTTTTGTGATTGTAGGCACTAAACTGTGTGTTCCACCTTCCCTTTCTTTCTGCTAAAAGAAAGAGCAGACAAAATGATTTAACTAGAGAAGACGTGAATATGCAGGTAGCCAACTGTACCCTACCAAAGGTGCCAGTAGCTTATCCTCTGTTATAGACAGCATACCTGTTTTGACATTTTAAGACAAGCCCCAGCAGAGGGAGTAAATCTGTTCCAGGTAACAGCAGAGTTTAGACCTAGAACTTGAGACTAGAGAACAACTTGTGGCACATGGAGATGAGTACTAGGACTTGAGTAATCTGGCAAATATGATGCATTGCCTTTTCCAACAAGTACTCTGCTGAACCTCATAGCAGGAGAGTCCTGTCTTCAGTGGCTTAAGAAGGAGAACTCTGGGTTGTTATCAGGTAGTGGGACATGAGGCCAAGAGCTGTGAGTGTTGTGGAAATGGCACCTGGGGAAAGGAGAAAGAGCAACTCAGTCCAGAGGGAACGGGCTTTGTCAGGTGGCTACCTGTATAAGTAAAGAGGGTTCTGAGCACGGGACTTACATAAACAAAGGCCGAGGGAGCTGAAAGAGGGAGGGCTCAGGGCAGTGGATGGATGAACATTTAGGATAGGAGGAGCCTAAGAGCAAGAAACAATGCATCTTGAATGACCAGTCTAGTTACACTGGCTTAACTTTTGTAGGAAGGAGTGCCAGCAAAGGTTAGAGCTGAGAAAATTGTCAGTCTGATGCATGTCTTTTTTGTAGATGGCCAATTAGCAAATAATTATAGGTTTTCAAGCCATTTAATCTTTGTTGAAACCACTCATCTCACAACCATACCACGAAAGCAGTCACAGGCACTCCATCACAGAATGGATGTGGTTGTACAGGTGCTAGTGAAACTTCATTTACAGGGCTTATATGGAGTTATATCTGCTGTCCTGACTCCTAAGGGGATATCTGGTAATAGTATGTTTGGGTAGGGATAGGTGGTAAACCTGGGCAGGGAGATTGGTTCAGCTGTAAAAGGTCACAGGTAGAGGATAGGAACCAGGGTGGTGGGAGTGGGCCAGTGGATGAAAGAACTGTGTCAGAGGTTAATGACAGATTTGTCATGAACTGGCAAGTCACAGGGAAGATAAAGAGTCTATATCTGTGTGTGTCTCAGACCTGTTGACCATTGGGAGGCTGGTGTCATGGGGAAAGAACATAGAGTGCGGGGGGTGTAAAGGAAGGTGATCTGAGATTTGTGCTGTGGCAGAAGTACCAGCATCATGTTTCTGGTGATGTCCAGTGGGGAGGCGGAGATGAAGGGGTGGTCCTGGGAGGGCTGGGGAGATTAGAACTGAAGAGGAGGGAGACCTGAGAGTCATTCCCATTAAGTGGGATGTTTATATGTTAAGAATAACTCAGTTTTCCAGGAAAGAGGACTAGAATTGCAGAATTAGTATGTCCAAGATGTGCCCTCATGTGATATCTGTTTGCTTGATATGATATAGTTTGCCAGAGATTTAAAAAATGGGGGTGTGTCTCCTTTTTTACTTTCAAAAAAAATGAAATAAGCTAGTTGAAGAAACTAAAACCTAGAGAAGTAAAGTCTGTTGGTCAGTTACTAGTCTAGACCAGAAACTCACTTCTTAGGATGGATCTTGCTCTCCCCATAATGCCACCTTGCTCTCCTTGTGAGGGGATAGGACATGGCAGTCACTGCAGTTACTGGGTGGCAGGATGTATGACAGCATCTTCATAAAAGGCTCTATACTTGCGCTTTTGCTCTTGTTTATGCTGTAGTTCCTCTTTGCAAATCTCAGAACACACAGACAGTGAGGTCTAGACAGGACATTGAGGCTTAGATGCCATCTTCTTGTCAGATACAGGGGCCAAGCAGTTTCCCTGAGTCCGAAGTAGAGAAAACTTAATTCATGTTTGTTGCTTTTGGCTCAAAGTTGTTACCAAACTCAGCAAAGCCTGCATACAGTGGAACCTCTGCAGTGAGTACAACTGCTCAGCCCAAAGTAAATAGTCAAGTCTGAATGTCTGAATTAAAAAATAATATTTAGTTTATTTTGTAAAAGAAGGTCTAATACAACTGTGACCTCATGGCTATAATGTCTAAAAAACACATTAAACTTTTCTTTTTTTAGTGTCAGGACTCAGCAGAATCTTTAAGTTCATGAGTTTGTAAACGCTGAAATTTTTTCCTATCATATCAGGTCAGGATTGCCTTGGAGTCCTTGTAATATTTGCAGGATTCTCTTTGGGATGTACAAATATTAAGACAGGTTTCATTTAAAAAAATCAGAGTAATAGCTGTTGTGGATCCACAGTTGCATCAGAATAAAAAGTGTAAAAACAAAAAAAACTAGTACTAAGCATTATGGTCCTCATGATGTTTCTTTCTTTCTTTTTTTTTTGGCAGAACTGGGGATTGAACTCAGGCCCTTGTGCTTGCCAGGGAAGCACTTATTCCACTGAGCCATCTCCCCGGCTCTTCCTCATGATGTTGAATAATTTTAACGCTTTGAACCTGGCTTCAATTCTATTTTGCAATCCCAGGATAATTTTTTAGGGGGCAGAATGTGACATTTCTTTTAGCATCTGGTTTAAGAGGATAATAGTATAGATTGTAAAATGAATAATAAAGCTAAACATTTACAGGTAAAGTTTTTTAAAGAAAAACTGCTGTCAGAAGCTTCTCAGTACTGACAATTTGTGCGTCTTTGTACAAGAATAAATGCTAGTGTTGGTCAGACTGCAGTGGTCAGCCAAGACCTGTAGTTCTGAGTTTCTGTTTATTAAAATGACCTCCTCTTTCTCTGTGATTTCTGATTAAATCATGTTATAAATCTGAGCTTAGAAAATGTACTTCACCTTAATAGATATTATGCAAAACTAATTTATATACTGAAATTCCATGTAACATTTCATTTGGAATAGATATTCTTATTTACTGGAGGTTTGGGGTCCTCGGGGACGACAAAATTCTCTGATGCTGCAAAAATATCTACTTAGCTAGAGATACTGTGTCTTGGGAGGTGCTGGATAATATTTGTGGAAGAGAACTGTTTTGATCCTGGTACTATTGGTTATCACTTAAAAGTGAATTGCCAGAAAGATCTATTGTGGGGCCCGGGAGATAGCTCAGTAGAATAAGCACTTGCCTGGCAAGCTCAGGGTCTTGAGTTCAATCCCTGGTACCACCAAAAGAAAAAAAGACCTATTGTGAAGTTAAGGTGTGATTGGACTGGAAGAATTATCCTGGCCACACCTCCCCCCTTTTTTTGCCATCTGGAATGTTAAACAGTACCCTCTACCCCATTTAATTCATGGCTTGTAGTCTCCCAAAGCACTTTTTTTAATGCTTTTAACTGGGAGCTCATGATCTCATCATGGGAACCCCATTAGATCAGAATTAAGTTCTCTGTACTTAGGATCCAAGGAGACTGCTTGCCTCTTGTGTCTCTTGAGACATTTCTGCAAAACAAACATCCTTGCTGGACCTGTGCCTGTCTCAAAGGGTCCTAATGACCCCTCTCTGGCTCCTTCCACAGAAAGAGTACTTCAAGCAATATGAAGTGGGGCTTCAAAATTTGTGCCATTCCTACCAGAGTCGTGCTGACTCACGGGCCAAGGCATCTGAGGAAAGTCTACGCACCTCTGAGAGGAAACTCCGTGAGACAGAGGAGAAACTTCAGAAGCTGAGGACGAACATCGTAGCACTCCTGCAAAAGGTGCAGGAGGTGAGCCAGGCAGCCTTCATTGCAGCTGGACCACCTGGTCTTTCAGGGAGGGGGGCAGGGAACTCCTGCTCTTTTCTCTTAGGACTCTGTCCACTCATAGGAAGCTGTGATTCCAATCCTGGCTGCACAGCATCCTGACTAGGAGGGCTTCAGGTGGTACAACTGCCTGGGCCTCCTCCCAGCCAGACCCACCTTGTTGTACAGCTTGGTTTGTGAACCCTCATAGCTATAAAACAAAGTTCTTCCTTTCCCACATAACATCCAGAAGTGATGTGTCCCCTTTAGATGAGTGTTAATCAAGGCAGCGGACAACTGAGGGCCTACTCTATCCTTTCCTCAGGGTCTAGGGAGAACAAAGACAGGCCAGATAAGATACCAGTTTTTGCAGCCCCACATTCTGGTAGAGGAGAGCGTACTGATGGTACGCTGAGCTGTGCAGTAACTAAAAAGAGACAGAACACTGGGGAAGGCCACTTGTCAGGGTGTCTGGGGTGACCTTTAAGGAGGTGGTATTCGAGCAGAGGAAGGGTGCTGCCCATGCAGAGTGGGACTCCTGCAGAAGGAAGATGAGCAGGACTTGGTCTCAGTGGGGAGTTGTGTGTGGTATACTAGACGAAGGATTCTACAAAGTGGGATGTGGTTCTGAGAGCAGTGGGAAGCCCCTGAAGGGGTGTGGCATGGTTCAGTTTTCACTATGACAGTTTGGTTGATTGGAGGGGTAAAAGATTCAGGGAACCTAGTAAGGAAATTACAACAGCTGGGTAAGATGCAGTGATGGCTTGGACATTGTGTGGTGACAGTGGATAGAGAAAAATAGATATATTTATATTTGAGGGAAAGATTGCTAAGGCAAGTGGGAACTTGAGGTGGAGACATAGCAGAAACAATATAATCTTGGTATCATCTGAGCACATAGATGTGGACAAGGATAGGTATCAAGACTGGACAGGAACCTGATAGCGGAGATGGTAGAATGAGGAATAGATGCTGGGATCAGCTCGGGAGCTTGAAGAAGAGTAGAGAGGCTCATCCCCCACACCACTTGCTGGCCCAGGCTGATCCCTGCCCTGCTCTGTTCCAGGACATAGACATCAACACAGATGATGAGCTGGATGCCTACATCGAGGACCTCATCACCAAGGGGGACTGAGGGGCCGAGAGCCAGAATCACCTCCCCTGCCTCTCAACCCAGCAGCTTCAGGGAGGGAGATTTCATTTATGGGTTGATGGACTTAACTTTTGATTTGATTCATGTGAGACATTTATGCTTTTGGAAGGACAGATATCTTGATTCTTTGAATTTTTCACCCTAAATTTATAAATATTTATTTTTTGAAAGAAACAGGCTGTGCTTGCTGTGAGACCATGTTTTTTTTTTTTTAATGACTTTCGGGTAAAGGACAGAAATGTTATGCTTTGGCCATATGAGGTTGCCACTTCAACTTCTGGGTACTCAAAATGATGGTGAGACCAGCATCACCCTAAATTTGGAGATTCCAGGGATATTAATGGTTTCTCTTATAGAGGATAAACAGTGAAGAGGTTGAGGGATGGGGGTGGGAGAGAGCCTTCCAGAGTGGTATGGCCAGTAGGGATTCAGATCCGGGGGACCAGGTAGGATTGGTCAGCAGGTTTATCATCGTAGATACTTTCCTTCTTGTAGCTCTGCTGTATCACATCAGGACCGTGAAGGTCTGTAGTTAGCCCCAACTAGTTTTGTAGAGTCATTCTGGCTGTGGCATCACTTAGATGGTGTGGGGAAGAAAGATCTTGCTAGCTAGTTTTTCCATTCCCCTGAAATTCTCTCTGAAGGACTAATTTTCTCAGTTAACTACCTGCCTCAGTTTGAGTCCAGGTTGAGTAGACAGCTCCCACTTGGTAGATTCCTGACCTGGGTAGCTCTTTGAGTGTTTAATTCCAAAGGATTCCTCAGGGAAAGAGCAGGTGTATGAAAGAGCTCTGGTGCTGAGCTGGCACAATTTCCCATCTGCAGCTACCTCAGATGGTACAGGTCCCTGGAGAACCTGCTACTATTTTTCTACTTCCCTTTGCCTAGCTCCACCTAGATGTGGCACAGCCCCTAGTCTTCAGCAGTTAGACCTGTACATTTTTAGGGTCTCCTCTGTGCAGGAAGCTTATCTCACTTTCCCTCCCTATCCAGACACAGCCTCAAAAGCCACGTCCTTCAGTAACTACTCAAGGTCAGGCAGGAGTTACTGAGGTTTTGGTAATGACCATTGGAATAATTCTGGTTCCATTTCCTGCAGGGTTTTTTCCCCATTCTTATTTGTATCCTCTGAAGGCATAAGAACTGTGGCCTTGTACCACTGATTCAAATTTTCTTGGGTGTGTTTTCACCGTTAATCTAATCCAGGCTAGCATTGGCTACATTGCTGCCTAGTGATGTCTGCATAAGACTAAGAAGTGCTGAAGGACTGGGGACACACTGGAATCCAGTCTTTTTCCATTTGTACATGTGGCTAGAAGCACCTATGACTGGTAGATTCTGGGCTTTCCCAAACCATATCTGCAGGAGAGGATAATGGGAAATAATACTCAGAAGTAGTCTTTTCTTCTCTGGAACATTCTCCAAGAAACTTGGAATTTCCTAAGCTGTTGATCCTCCTTTATCCTCTCCTCTGTTTGTCCTTGGTAATGAATGCATTGTTCATTTTTTTGTCCCCAAACCTGTTCTAACCTAAAAGAAAGATAGTTCTGTACTTGAGTCACACTCAAGTTGTTTACTTACCTATGTGATCAAAATGCAGTACAGTAAGTCCCCAACTTAATGAATGAATATTAAGTTGCAAACTTTCATAGATACAAACAGACCTCACATTACAAACATATGTACAAGTAAATGGAAGTAGCACATGTGTTTGCCAGTTAGTGTCACACTTGTGCTGCCTACTGTATAGTGTGATAGTGTATAGGAGTATATAGTGCTCAGTCAGAGCCCAGGATGTCTGGAAGCAAGAGGAAAAGTGACATGGAGGGGACGCTAGGAAGCACAAAGCAATAACCATGGAAACAAAAGTGAAAATATTTGAGAAATTGGACTGAGGCAAAAAGATGGTAGGTGTTACTTGTTCTTTTTTATGTGTTTGTTTTTTTATGCTTTATGTTGTGTATTTGTGTGAAAGGTGTATAAAACTCCTTTTGTGGGACTTAGGAACGACTGACTTAATGAATGTTCTCCAGGAATGGAGCTGGTTTTGTTAAGTTGGAAACTTACTGTGCTATAAACTTCTCCTGGTGAGACTTCTGCACTCAGTCTGTGTTCTCGGTGAAACCCAGCACCTTGATGCTCTTTTGTTTCTTTATTTTTTTGTCCTATGGCTTTAACCAGTCTTCAATGCCTTCTTTACCTTCTTTATTATTTGAGCTTCCCCCTGTTTAACATCCACAGAAATAGACTAGATTTCTTAAATGTTACAGATGTAACTTCTGGGTGTGCTTAATCCAACCTCAGCTTTGCTGAATAGCCTGTTTTCCAATCAAAGACCTTGCTGTTCTGAGTGGGTTACAAAATGTAAATCTCTTCCTCTTCTTTTGGGAACATCACAGGACAGTTGATTGACATGGACCTGTCTGGCTACATGAGAGAAGAAAGAAAGCCTGGCTTATCTGTGGCAGGAAGGTCCTTGGCACAAGGATGTGTGAAAGTGAGGATAGCCAGACATCTCTCCTACTTAAGGAATGAGGGCTTTGGTTGGCCGGTTTGGTTGTTTTTAAGTAATGTGCACAAGATTAAAAAAAAAATAATAATAAAAATAGTGAGCCAGGTGTGGTGGCACATATCTATACTCCCCACACTCAAGATGGACCTTGAAGAGCAAGGCTTCTTCCCACCCAAGTCCCAGATCTCAGTGTATGCATCCTAAGAGTTCATGCATACACACACATTCTGTTTGCCACCAGTGGATTTTAGAACTTCTTTCAGAATAGTCCAGAAGGGTCTTCTTTATTCTGAACAGCTACAGAGCATATCATTATTCTGGATATAGTTTAATGTTCCCTTATTTGCGAGCATTTGAGTTGTTTCTCAAATTAGAAAAATTGCTGAGCACATTTACTTATTAACTTAGATCTGTATTTACAAAGGTTAAGTTCCAAAAAGGAAAAGGTTGTCAGTGCATTTTAAGCTGTATTCACACACTGCATTCAAGGAAAAACTTCCAGTGACAGTTTCAAGAGTGCCCCACCCATACCTTGCCAGAATGTAACTATTTACTAAATGTGTAAAATAATGGATTGAGTCCATTTGAATTAGTTTAATCAGTGAAATTTATTGTCTTCATTGGCCAGTTTCTCTTCTGATACAGAACAGTATGTAGCTCTGAATTTTGGGTTAGGTAAAACTTTTTATAAATAAGATTTAAAAATAAGGTGTAAAGTCCTCAGGAAAATGTCTGCCTTACAGGACCCCTTAGCTCCTAAATGTCCCAGGGATTTCAGATTAAAAAGATCATTTTTATCTATTACTAGGTCAGAACAAGGGTATGACATTTTTATTTACCAAAAGAAATTAATGATTAATAATGGGCTTAGAAAACTTTTCTGCTTCATTAATGTGTTCTAGCAACACTTTTTTGCCTTGTTAGGTCTATTCCTCCCTCTTACTTTATATGAATTTCAAATTCCAGGACTGAAGTATTGCCAAGAGAGGAAGCTATGAGAATCACTGTCAAGTCTGAGAGCTTCAAACTTTTTCTGTTTACATAGAACCTAGGGCTTGACCTGAGTGCTCTGCTTCGTCTGTCTGCTTGTTCCTTTGGAAGATCATTCTGCAGCTGAGCAGGGTTGTGTGTGACGTATTGACAAGTCTCCAAGGTTCCTGAAATCATTCTGAAAGTTCCACTGTTGGGTTCTGGCTTCTGTTGGAGGCGGAACCTCTGACACTTCTATGAATGGCCACATAGAGTTTCGTTCATAGAGCAGTTGCTTAGCCAGCTTGTGTGTCTTTAGGTTGGTTAGTTTGGCCTCTGCTGAAGGCACCATCTCTGTTGACCTGGGCAGACTGCAGGGAGGACCTGCCAAGGCACATGCCAAGATGTAGCCAAGCCTGCTTTTATTCTAGCTCCTATCATTCAGTAATTTGCCATCAATGAAACAGGCTCAACCAGATCCAATGCCAGAAACTTCCTTCTTCCTATTTGTTTGCAGTGCCTCAGACAAGTCACTCTATTCTAGCTCTCAGTTCTTGAAAGATGAAAGGGTTGGATGATAGTAGAGGTTTTCCAATTTATTTAGCACCAGGGCCATGTCTCCACCTGAAATTTATCCAGCCCTAATAGTGATACTGGATACTGGAACTGCTCTGGCTGAAGTTTGGCAAGGGATCCATTGCCTGTTGGAAGTTTTGTATTCTCCCTCTAGCTGTAGGCCTTGAGGTGACTCATATAGGGGTCATATGCATTCCCTTGGGCTCCTGTCATGGCCTAAACATTTAGCCAGTTGCAGTATCCCCCAAGGATGAGGGTCGGACTTCTAAGCAGCCTCTCATTTGGCCCGTGATGCCTATGATTTCTTGGAGTTCTAGCATTCTCAGTAGCTGCTAGCCAAGGTCTGGACCGGTGTGGAAGTTCATACCACTTGGGCAAATTTGGACCAATGAGAGTGTAAGGAACCAGCAGAAACATCCAGTCTCTTCTGAGCCCTCTAGATTACTGATAATTCCAAGGGTTCTCAGTGGCTGCACATTTCTCTCCAAACTGGCCAACTCTCATCTGCTACTGTGACTCACCGTTCTTCGTCATCTATTGAAAGTTATGAGCTCCTGAAACCCTCCCTAAGGCCTGACAAGTTAAACCAGCACTAGGCCTGGTTTTGGAAGCCACAGTGGTCAGGGAAGTTTTGAGTTCCTCATTGTTAAATCATCAGCTAACACAGTGCAACACATGCACGAGGGTTGATTATAAATTCTTACCTGACCCAGATGAGGCTAGCATTACAGCACTCTTGAAGTTTTGTGAGGGACCTGTGTCAGCTCTGTCCCACAGCGGTCGATGGGCAGTGGCTTTGCAGTTAGCGCCCGCGGCAGCCTAGGCTTTTTAAGCGTGGGCCCAATTGCATGTGGGCAGTTGTTGCTACACACCCCCAGTGCCTCAGGTGCACACTGTGCATGCTCTGTGGAAGCTTGCTGCTTCTGCCCATGTGCACACTTGGGATTTTGAGGTGTTCTACAGCTCAGGCCGTTACCTTAGGAGCCAGCGAGGACTGCTCCAACTCCAAGTGAAAAGAGGCACCCCCACACTGGGGCTACTACCTTTTTCCACAATTGTTGTACAGCGTATTGAGAGGTTACTACAAATTTTTGTTTTGGTACAGTTGCCTTTCTAGCTGGTCATCTTTATTTCTGCAAGGTGGAGGACTTGGAAAAAAGCTGCCTGTTTTTCCTTTTGCCTTAAAGGGTAAGCCAGTGTGTCAGCCTTGCTGGGCCTGACCTGAGCAGTCTGGGGGATTCACAACATTTATTTGCTACAAGTTTGCTGTTGGCTTGGTTTGCGATGTTTGTTGAAAGGTAAGCATTCTTAGGTTTTTGTGTATTGTCATGCTGAGGAAAATCAAACCCCCTTTGCACCAACACTTAAGCTATAATGTTAAATTTTTCTGTCATCCTTCAATCCTAGTGGAATATAGTCTAAACCACAAGCAAGAATCAAACTTTGTCATCCTCCCACCCCTGGGTGGAAATTCACTTATGCTAGCTCATTTGTTACATGAATCATTTGAGCAATTCATATTTCCTTGTGTTTGGTTAGCATCGGGTTGAAGACACACCTTAGGGCAATAGAGACATCTGCCATTACTTGCACAGGTGAGTGTGCTGTGAGGGCTGCAGCTGTAGCTGAACTTAATCTTGGCAATCTTCAGCATCTAAAGAGTTGCTTAAAAAAAATTAGGCTATTAGTATTCAAGAGTTGCTTGATGCAGTTTTGTTTTGTTTTGCCTCTCACTGTGCCACTGAACTATGTCCATGGCCCAGGATTCTCTTTTATAGTAGTTTTTTATTTTTTAAGTCTCATTCAGATTTAAGTTATAATTGCATTAAATGTAAGTGTTTGGAGAATGTTAACATTTTATATTAAATCTTCCCAGAGGATATGAAATGATTTTCCATTTGTTTAAGACTTCTTTTCTATTCTCTGGTTTCATAATTCATATGGGTTCTATAACTTTCTGGGCCAGTAAGATATTTTTTCATTCAGCTTTGTATAATGTTCTAGTTACAACATTTAATCATGTTATTGCCCACAATTTGCCATTATTGTGATTGGATACTTTCTTCCTAGTGCTTATTGATGATTAATATGGAGAAAAGCTGTTATAGACTCTGGTAGTTCTAAAACTAAACCTGTTTTTTTGTTTTGTTTTTGTTTTATTTAATAGAGACAATTTACAAATTTGCCAGTATTCCAAGTTTGTTGCCATTTAGTTTTACTTAGAAACTTTGAAACAATGTTGAATCTTTCTGGGTCTTATTTCTGATGTGGATGAGATCTACATGTGAGGGTTGAGCAGGACAACTGGCTGTTGGTTTTGGTAAATGGCATTTGAAGTATCAAAGAAGTTCCCTTACTTGTATCTTGGGACCTCTGAACTCATGTGTAGCTGCTGTCCTGAGTCCAGTTGACTTGTGGGGAAGAGGGGCAGCACTATGTGAAATGAAAATGTGGGTTATGTCCCCTGGAGATGGGCTGAATTTTGTCAGAAAGTGCCTTTCACCATCTTTAAAAAGCAATATGGAATTGAACATTTTTTTCATGTGTTTATCAGCTGTTTGTACTTCTTTGGAGGAATGAATTTATTGCTCACTTATTTATGGTTTATTTATGGTTTATTTTATTTTTTAGGTTTTAAATATATTTGGTTGTTATAGGGTCTCACTACATAGCTTGGACTCATAGTGATATTCTTGTTTTCAGCCTCCCCAGCGCTGGGATTACAGGTGTATGCTACTATACCTGGACTCTGTGGCCTTTTCAGCCCATCCTGGGGCTGGCAGGGCATGTGGTACTGGGGATCAGACAGTGGTCCCTGTGCTTGCCTAAGCAGGCACTTTAGTCCACTGAGCTTTCTCGCTGGCCCCTATTCTTTCTTTTTTAGTTCTTTATTCTGAAAATCAATCCTCAGAAGAGCAGCTGGCAAAGGTTTTCTCCCATTCTGAGGACTTAGTCTTGGCTGTGTTGCTTTCTTAGCTTTGAAAAGCTTTATATATGCGTGTCTGAATCTGCCAAAATGGAATTGATTAACCTATACAACTAAATACACTATTAATTACGCTCTTAACAGAAGAATAAGGCACAATAAATCTAGTCTGATTCTAAAAGTCAATTTTAAAGACCTATATGGAGTTTTCTTCTAAAAGCTATTGTTTTATTTTCATTAGACAGTGAGTAGCCATAAAAGTTTACTGTATAAAGCATTTATAACTTAGGAAGATGTACAAGTGTTACCATCCAGCTGATGTGTTTTTCTTTCTACCCAGATAGAATTACAAGGCAAAGAGTCAAAAGAGGACCGAAGGAAAGTATTGTACAAGATCAGAAAGCAGCATGTATTGTAAAGTGAAATGCTCCTAGGCAGATGAATGAGGGCACCCAAAAGGGTTGTCCAAGGGACTCTTGTCTAGGGATTTTTAGACTACCAAAAGACTACATCTTAGCCAAGTTCAGGTCAATCTATAGGGTAACAATCAGAAAAGTCTGATGTAGAATGGGCCTATAG